GTACATGGAGAACGTTCGTGGAAAACTTGTTCTCTGAACAGTGAACCTACATTTGAACGGTTCTGTGTAAACACTTCATTTCAGCGGTAACCCTTTATCCAGCTGCCCTGTGTGTTCGCGGAGAACTACCTCCTGAAACTGTTAGCGAGTGGTGGCCAACGCTCTCCAATGTTCGCCGAATTTGAACGCACCGGTGGCCTCGACGTTAAGAAGACGATTTAATGTTTAAGTGTAAACGTTATCTGGAACGTGAACAGGGTCGCTGTGAATAATAGTTACTTGTTTGTCTGTTCCAAGTCCATTAACAATTCCAGAGAAAATGTATTTCGAAATAGAAAATGTTACAGCTCGGTTCACAACATGAAGTATGGCAGCTTTTAGCGTTAACATTAGCTAACTAGCTCGCTAGCACAACTCGCCGCGTCCCAAACCTCACACTTCTGCACTTCACATACTACATTAATGAGTGCACTTCTAATGGTATATGCGCTATTTTTACACGCCATTTAGTGTGCTAGTATGCGGTTCGGGACGAGGCGTATCTTATCTTGCCGACGAGTTTCCTCTTCAGACGCTCCAACATGGAGGATGTGCTCCCATGCCAGCTAAGGTTGGCTTTACAAACAGCACAACTGACACCATTTTTTCTGAGTTTAGCTCCCACACCTTTAGGATTTTGTTCTTGAGGCAGCCATCACTCTCCAGTGAGCGGTAATGTCAAAACGTACCTAGTGAGCGTAGGAAAGACGTGTAATGACGTCACCAACTACTCGACTACTAAATTAGTTGCCAACTAATTTGGTCGTCGATTTTATTCTACTAAGTAGACTACACCCTAATGAAAAAACAGAAGCAGTTTGGCCAGCTTGAGCTTGTTAAAATGGTACTTCAGCTTAATTGGCAGACCAGCTTATGTTTTCATTTGATATTTTAGCTCCTCCACCAGCATGACTAAGCTGGTTCACCAGCATGACCAGCTAAACCATGAAACTCAAAAACATACCCAATGTTGGTCTACCATCTTAATCCACATAAATTATGTTCAGTTCGTCAACTATCTTGACGATCAAAGACCAGCTTGGATCATCTGAAACCAGCTATCAGAAAAAAAAGCTGGTCTTAGCTGTATTGATGTTTTCATGCATATATCCATTCATATATCCACATTATAGCAGAGTCAGCAGAAAAAGGTGCACTCCATACTGGTTAAAGCATTAGGATAACGAATAGAATATAAATTAGAACGGGAGTAAACTAATGTTACTACATACCTAAAGCGACATCCATTGCAATGCATTCTAAATGTCAATACAACATATTAGGTCACTGATATTTATCAAAACCACAAACTGAACTGTTAACCTAATGGAAAGTACCTGACGAATAGTAGAAGGGGGAAAAAAAATGAGTGGCTGTTTACAGTGTGAATCATAACTTTCATTTCTAACTATGTTCCAACACAAGCAATAAAAAACATCTGCAGTGGCTAATAACACTGATGGTTAAAAGGGCATCATGATGCCCTTCTAATGCTCTTTATTAGTCTTATGAAGCCGTTTTTATTAAGCAGTTTTTATTAAGTTTTTCAGCGTATTTGTATTTGTGTATTATACATCATGTTTCACATCATGATCTTGTACACAAGCCTTACCTAAACACGCAGGGTAAATGGATTTTTCTTTAATTCTTATCAGTTCTTATATAGTAAATCACCACTTAGCTCTGAATAAATAATTCTCAAACTGAAGTCTCAGATTTCTAGTTAATATTTAGTTTAATCAGATGGAAGAAACTTTCAGAAGGTCAGCCATCACTGTGGCACTCCACAAATCTAAAGCCCTTTAAGGCAGAGTGGCCAGACAGAAGCCTCTCTTCAGTAAAAGACATATGGGGGGAAAAAAAAGACATATGCACTTAAAGGAATCTCAGACTGTGAGAAGCAAGATTCTCTGGTCTGATGAAACCAAGATTGAACTTTTTGGCCTCAATTCTAAGCGTCATGTCTGGAGGAAACCTGCCCTGCTGTCTGCTCATCACCTGCCCAATACCATCCCTAAAGTGTAGCATGGTGGTGGCAGCATCATGCTGTGGAGTTGTGTTTCAGCAGCTGGGACAGGGAGACTGGTTAGGGTTGAGGGAACGCTGAATGGAGCAAAGTACAGAGATATTCTTAACGAAAACCTGATCCAGAGTGCTCAGGACCTCAGACTGGGCTGGAGGTTCACCTTCCAACAAGACAGTGACAATGGGGTATTGAGTGCATTGATGGGTGAAAACTTTTTTTTTTTTAATTTTAGCACAAGCCTGCAACATAACAAAATGTGAAAAATCTGAAAGGGCTGAAGACTTTCCGAATGCACTGTTAGTTCTTTCATATGTTCTTTATGCCCAAAAGAGTGTTTCACTGTCATTTTTGAGGATACATTGGATCAGGTGCTGCAGGAAGAACGCAGGTTGATTTCACCCCCTGTGCTTTTCTCGCTGCAGTTTTTCTAAAAGAAAACACAAATAATATTTAGTACATGAGCCAGTTGAAACAAAATCCCTGCAAGCTGTAGTACTTGCTTGTTATCTCCACAGTAGGATTAGGATTACTGCATTCAACCACATAAGTAACCACAAGCTGCACAAGCGTCAGTGCAATGGTGCGAAGATTTAAGACATTAACTGATCTTTATCTCACCAACACAGTGCAACGCAGTAGAATTATATCATAATACTTTTCTATGTGCAAAGCACACATTTGTAACAGATAATTATTATTCAAGTAGTTAGAGAGCTGGGGCAAGTTCTTGTTTCCTCATGTTGGAATATGAATTGATACATTCATTCATAATATACTAGAAATGTGAAATATACTAAAAACGGGATACATAGTTGAGGAGACAAATTTTTTGGATTCACATTTTATTTACAAATAAAGTTAATTTGATTTGTTTTGTCGAGATTTTGTGTCATTCACGATATAACAAATGATGCTTTTCCATGAAAACAAGATAATTTTCTAAAAATCTCACCTTACAATCATTGATTACGTTCTTTTCAAGGTCCACCACTGAGAGCCTAAGTGCTCCTAGAAAAAAGGAAAGAAAGAAAACGATAAAATAAATTTCAAACACAGAACGAGAGCTATGGCCATTTTCTCCTCATGTGACTTACCGGAGGCAATTTTTTCAGGAGCTTGTCTACTTGTTCCTTCAATTCCATGAACTGTTAATAGGAGCACCACAGACATACGTTACAACAGCAGCGGGAAGAACACACACTCTTCGTGGTTAAGGTAGCTGGGTCAAATCTAACTTGGAAGGACACTTCTGAATGTCAATGACAGACTGAAGCCAAAAGTGATCCAAACGCTTGTGGTGCACATATGCAGGCACAGATGTGCAACCTGGACATAAAGAGCACTGTTTTTTTGTTTTTTTTTAAGAGTCTGCACAGCGATCATTCAAGAGCTGACCAACTTGTTGGCTATGAAGCGCACTATAGTAATCTTGATTTAGATGTGGCTGATTAGCTTGTTGGCTGTGCTTAATGATGGCTCAAGTTCCCTGAACAGCGGAACTGAGAGTTAAATGACAATTTGCCAAAAAGACGGCAGCAGCTTCAGGGCTGCAGGTGCTGATGAGACAGACTAAAAATCCTTCGACCATGTTTAGTTGTCAGAATGCACAGCGTTCTTTTAGAGGCTTTAGAAGGGGGTCTGGGGTCGTGCTCCCCAGAAAAATTATGTTAATGGCCCTAAAATGTCTGTTCACTATAAAACTTATAGAGTAGCAACAGCCATAAAATTGATCAAAAATTTGGTCAAGCGGGCACACAGTAGCTATGTTTCTCTGTAGTCTGTATTAAGCAGAGTTGGTATGTCTGAATGAATGAATACTGTATCTGTCCACCTATACAGATAAAGCAAAGGTGCTGAATTCAAGCAATGCTATCTTCCCTCTCTTAGATAAGCTGCAAAGTCCTAAATATGTAGAAACAGTGCGATTTTGCTCTGCTGGCATGTTTAATAAGCTAAGTAAAATTTCACATAGTTACAAATATTATACTTTATCAATTAAAATCTATGAAATTCAGTGTTAATTTGAATTGTTTTTAATTGTTCAAACATCTCCACCGGATCTTTTTCCTTTAGTTCTGTCAGTCTCCTTCAGCTTCTTTCTCTCCCTCTCTTTTTATGAGTAATACACCATTTTATTAAATTCAGATTTACATCATTCCGATTTTTTTTAACTGTTAAAAATCTTCTTATCTGATTTTGACAGAGCTGCCACCTTTTAATTTCCATCTACAGGTTGAAGAATTGAGGGATATTCTGTTAAGATCAACACTATGGGAAATATAAAAACAAAGCATATAAAGAGCTGTCAATGACGTTATTTCTATTTGTCACTTGTTCACACTCACTCAGTATAAAGAGAAGTTTCTTCAAATTCCAGAACTAGGTGGCCTGTCACTTTGTTAGCGAATGTTAACAATGTAAATTAAGTATTTTTATCTATATATATCATGATCTACACAAGCTATACCTAAGCACAGGGTATATGTATTGTCTTTATTTTTTTCTCAATTCTTATATAGTAAATCACTCAATAAATACAATCTGACCCTCTAAAGTGAAGACTCAGATTTCTAATTAACACTGTTTAATCAGAACAGTGTTTTCTTTTACTCCTTATCAACATCTCAAATAAAAAAACAAATCGATCCTCTTTTCTAAAGAGGTTACATTCCAGCACCTAATAGCCCTTACTTGACACGCATGATCTATGCCTATTAACACTGTTGTAGTCAATATCTAACTTGTTAGATTTGGTCCTTTCATCTTAGCAAAGGAATAGCTGGATGTCTTCAAATCAGTAGATGATGTACAAACATTATGATGCATAACACAAATAAAAGTGTTTAATTCACCATAGCTATTGTGTAAAAAAGTAGTAAAGAGCAGCAAGTTAATGACAAGGTTGATAAGACTAAATGATCATACTACAAGTGCATTATTAATAATCTGTTTTTAATGCAAACCTGCTCTCATGACAATGACAAAAACGATGGCATTATTTCTGCAATTCATTTACTCCAAGAACATTGTGGAAACTATTTGTCATATAAGAACAAAAAATAAATAAAAATGCATTTGATTTAGGGGTTTACAAGAAAATATAAATATCTTCTTCCATAAATTATAAAAGAAAAACTGTTCAGAAGAGAAGAGCTCTGCTCATTTGCCTTGCGAGTTTTTTTTCTGGACACATTTGTTCAGGCGCTGGAGGAACAAATGCAGGGTGATTTCATTCCCTGTGCTTTCCACGCTGCAGTTTTTCTAAAAGAAAGTAAAACATCTAATATTAGTACATAGTCCCTCCATGCTGTACCACTTGCTTGTTATCTCCACAATAAGATAATGATGACTGCATTCAACCACATAACAAGTAACCACAAGCTGCCCAGGCATCAGTGTAATGGTGCAAAGATTTAAGACATCAACTGATCTGTAACTCACCAACACAATGTAACGCAGAAAAATAGATTATAATTACAAGCATAATGCAATATTAATAAGTAGGCTGAAATAAGAGAATGCTGAAACATAGGTGAAACATACCACATGATTCTGTTTGTATGCACTCAAATTTCTGAGCAAGCCTTGTACTTTCTGAAACTCAGAGAGTTGGGACAACGTCTCTTTGCCAGACAGCACACTCTCAACTTGACAGAAAAACTCCGGCTACATTATTGAAGTTAAGGATGAATTAATATATATATTAATATATTGTATATTAGAAATGTTAAAAATATGATACTTAATGAAGGAGGTAAATAGCTTGGATGCAATTTTTTTTACTGCCCAATCAAAGCAAGTTATTTTATGTATCAACATCTTATCTGATATAAGAAATGATAAGAAACAAGATAATTTTCTCAAAATCTTGAGTTAATGAAATTATTAGTTATAGGCATCATTGCAACAACATGCAAGAATAACACTTTGTGTGCACATTAAACAAGAGCGTGGTATGATTAAACTGAAATGTAGCATAACACTCACAGTAGCTTAAAGTTTTGTGGTGTCTTACCTTGCAATCATTGAATATGTGCTTTTCAATTTCCATCACAAAGATAGAATCTAACCGCTCCTAGGAGGCGAAAGAAAAACATTAAAATAAATTCCAAATCCAGGAGCTAAGCCCCCTTTTTTCCCCCTCATGTGTGACTTACCGTGGGCACTTTTTTCAGGAGTTCGTCTACTTGTTCCTTCAACTCCTTGAACTGTTTAATAGGAGCCCCACAGATGTATGTAACAGCAATGGCGAAAAGCACAAACACAGTCTTCATGGTTGAAGCAGCTTGGTGAAGCCTAGCTTGGAAGGACTCTGACTGTCAATGGAAGACTGAAGCCGAAAGTGATTCAAACACTTGCCGAGGTGCACATATATATATGTGCAGGCAGAGACGCACAACCCGGATATGAACTTTTTTCTTAGAATCTGATGTTCTGCATAGTAAGCATTTAAGAGCTGACAAATTAAGTGGCTATGAAGCGCACTGAGGTAATCTTGATCAAGATGTGGTTGATTAGTTCGCTGGTCGCGCTTAATGGTGCTTCAAATTCTCTGAATAGCGGAATTGAGAGTTAAACAACAATTTGGCAAAAAGATTGCAATGGTTTCAGATAGAGCCGTGGGTGCTGATGAGACAAACTAAAAAAACCCTTGACCATGTTTGGTTGTCCGAATGCACAGCATTCTTTTAGTGGCTTCAGATAAATAATTATTGTTCTAATACTTTAACTAATATGGCTAAGAAAGAAAGAAATATATAGCATACTAGCAATATTGCATACTGTAATAGCATGACTGATTGAAATTTAATAATTATTTAAAGCCATGTCTTTTTATGAAGCTTATAACAGTGTTTGAACAGTAGAACCTTTTAACTTTCAATCAAGGCAAAATGGTATGCAAGTACACAAGCCCAGCTTTACAAACTGTGTTTTATATAAAAAAAAACAAAAAAAAAAAGTGCTATCAAGATTAGTAGCACTCAACTCTGATTAACCAGTTTTGTACTGCATATATTCAAACTATGCAAAGGCTTTCAAACAGGGATGGTAAATGTGGAATACAGTATAGTGGAATTTGACTGGGATAAATTGTTAGGGCAACGGAAATTTGCCCTGCAATACACTCACATGGCATCACATCTGTACAGCTATGTGATTCAGTTACATATGTTATTGCATATGAAATTTCAGTGCTCCACCAGAGAGCCAATGTCAGTTTAGCAGTAAAACAGAACATCAAGACTACATTTTAAACAGCGAGAAAGAACAAAATGCAGGGCAACAGCAGAACAAGTGCAGGCAAAAACCCACTGCATTCTGAATTGACAAACTGGTTTGAATTTGGGTGCTTCTAGACTTGGCAAGCATGGAGCAAAGTCTTTGGCGCACAACAAAAAAGAATCCCAGCCACATAAACCATCTCTTCAAACTAGAACGGAGCATGTTTATGTCAAGTAGTATACTACAGGTTTTTGCTTGCTTACTGATTATTTTCAGTATACATTCCTTTTTAGCTTCGGCAATTCACCAGTCTCAGAATTATCCCTTAAGTGCCTTCTTCTGTACTGCCACGTTCAGCCCCTCTTTTCTGTAAAGTGTTCAGTTCCCTCCACAACCAGTCAGTGCTTCCAAGGTTGAGACATGGTGGAAACTGAGGCCTCAGTGCAGGTAGGTGTTTAAACTTGAGATGCTGCACTTGGTGATCTCAGAGCATTGGTCCTGGTTCTTCTTGATTCTGTAGAAGTGCTCTACATAGTTGGAGCGACCCAGTAGCTCCACAAAGTCCTCATCGTGGGTGATGATGAGCAGCTGGAAGTTGCGTTGCCGAGAACGACTCTTTATGATTCTGCCACAAAAGCAAAAATAAACAGCAGAGGGTTCACAAGTCGCAGACAATGTAATACAAATGGAATTCAAATAATATGACTAAGCTTGCTTGTCTCTAACATGGACCAACTGACAGACATATTTATATATGTTTCTTATATATGAATTTCTGAGTGGAACATTACGTGTTGGGTTGAAGGAGGGGGTGGGCAGAAAGATTTTTTTTTCCATCTTTGTCAAACATTCAGTTGCAATATGCTTTTCTGTGTATATTGAGGAACTCATCATTGCTTAAAGAACACTGACCAACTACATGTTTCATTACAGAGCACATTTAGTCCTGTTTAATTGGATTTAGTGCAGTGAAATATGTGAAACATTAAATAATCACTGTATTCATAGAGTTAGACAGTATTTTTTTTTAACTTGGCACTACTGGATCTTTTTTGTCTGTTCCAACTTATTTTGGCCATACTGCCTACCCCACTGGCACCTACTACACAACAAACATGGAGAAATCTGAGAAAAAGTAACCTAATCTTTGGCAAACCTGACACCAGAATAATGTTAATAGACATTCAAATGCTCTTCTTTACAACTGAAATTTGGTAATATCTTCTGCATGGTACGCACTTATGCTACATATTTTCAAGCATAGTTTTTACCCACAATGACACTACTTTCACTGGAATACTGCTGTTAACGGTTCAGAATAATCTGGCAGCTCTACTAATGTTTTGTATTTCTTAATGTTTTGTAAATCTTAAAGATTAAAAAAAATATATTAAAGAAAAAATGCTCTGAATTTCAGTCATTAAAAAGCTGTACAAAACACAACATTTCAGTCACATCGAAAAGGGTTGAACTAGACTCACTCCACCAAGGCGTGGGCCAGGGACTCAATGTTTTCTCTGTCCAGATTGGTGGTGGGCTCATCCAGGGCCAGAATGCCACAATTCAGACAGAATGTCTCAGCCAGTGCCAGTCGGATGATGAGGGAGGCCAGCACCTGAGGAAAGCCCCACACATTTGTTGAAACGTTATTACCTTTTTCTGGTTTCTTGCAAAAAGATGTGGATAAAAAATGCCTTAACAGTTAGCAGACCTTTTGACCAGCACTGCAACGTCCGCGCATGTCTAAAGCTGTGTCTCCTTTAACCATCACTACTCTATAATTATATGTGCGTCTTTTGACTCCAGCAGAAGCATTCTCATCCACATCAGAACGGATCTCCACATACTCAATATCTGAGAGGGAAATAAGGGAGCAAACAGATGTAATTTAGATACATACTGTCATCAAGTTTCCTTTAATAAATCTATTTTGGTAATTAGGTTCATGCACCATTGTAAGAGTGAAATGCAAATTAGACAGGGCTGATATATACTAGGTCACACAGATTCACAATGGGTCATGTAGTGCCATGTGGGAATTCTGTGTTGCCTATTTATGTTTTAAAACACTTCACAAATAGGCAGACTCAGCATATGGATGTCAGAAAAGACCTTGTCCACGATATGTGCTTCTCCACAGGTCTCGGATTATTTTGTTGATCTCTTCCATCTTCATGCTGTGAAACTTCATGATTGTTCTATAAAAATATACAGATAAAGAGAAATTCAAAACAACTGAAAATGCAGAATATTGCTAAGTTTCATACAAAGATCTACAACAGAGCTGTTTCATAAACAAGTCTACTAGAATGTGTGCTGGCCAGTTAGAGCTGAGTGTTTAACATTAAGCACCACACAAATATTGTAAGTGCTAATTTTTTTACATAAGGGTTAAAAATGCATTTTGACAAGTGTTTTAGCTTTTTACTGGCAAAATTCCAGACAGCACAATATGAAAATCTAAACGCTGCCTTTCCAATCAGATAGATGCACAAAGAGCGCAGTGATGCTATCATCATGAGAACCTACTGGGCTGATAAAAAATGCTGACTAGATGAGCAAATAAACCAAATCCTGCAACTCAGAAGCCTCTTTCAAATTTCCTCTGGGTTAGCTGTTGACATGAACATCCTCTTGATCATTATGCAGTGTAACAACTTTGCTTTTCTTTGTAATAGGGAGTATAACTGAACCAAACAACAAACGGGTACGGTCAAAATGTTAGAAATATAGAAGTTAGAATTAAACTGCCTCCAATGTCATATTTCTAAACGTAGTCAGAGAGAGCACTCCAGGAATATATGTGGTTGATTAGGCTGTGTGAACATCTGTGATTTCTCGAACAGCTGAAGGAACATTTAATCACGACACTGATTATTATCTGCACTCGGCAAAGTAGAAAGCTTTCCTCAACCTGATCCAGAGTCAGAGCAGAACTTCTCTCTTCATGTCTAAATATGTATGTATAAATTAAAGTGCACTGTATTTTTGTATTTTGCTACAATTTCTACAGGCAGACATCAAGGCTGGTAGTGCTTCCATGCTGGTGTGGGGTGTGTTCTCATGGCATGGGTTGCGTCCACTTCTCCGCCTAAACACATCATTGACCAGCGACCGCTACGTTTCACTGCTTGGTGACCATTTGCAGCCCTTCATGGACTTCTTGTGTCCCCACAATGACAGGATATTGAAGCTGGATAATGCACCGTGCCGTCGAGCCCAAGTTGTCCAGAATTGGTTCGAGGAGCATTCTGGAGAGTTCCGACGAGTGGTGTGCCCTGCACGTTCGTCCGACATGAGCCCAAACGCACCAGAGATCCTACCCACAAATACCACAGAGTTGTGGGTGACCATTCAGACAGAATCAATGCCACGTCGAGTTGCTGCACTTCGCCGTGCTAAAGGTGGTCCTACACAACACTCCAGTCCCTGTCTCATAACTTTTTGCATGTCAGTTTATATAAATTATATATACGTAAAGTATATACATACATCGATCAGGCATAACATTATGACCACCTCCTTATTTCTACACTCATTGTCCATTTTATCAGCTCCACTTACTATATAGGTGCACTTTGTAGTTCTACAGTTACAGACTGTAGTCCATCTGTTTCTCTGCATACTTTGTTAGCCCCCTTTTACCCTGTTCTTCAGTGGTCAGGACCCCCATGGACCCTCACAGAGCAGGTACTATTTGGGTGGTGGATCACTCTAAGCACTGCAGTTACACTGATGCGGTGGTGGTGTGTTAGTGTGTGTTGTGCTGATACTTTTTGGTCCACCTTGTAGATGTAAAGTCAGGGACGACAGCTCATCTGCTACTGCACAGTTTGTGTTGGTCATCCTCTAGTCCTTCATCAGTGGTCAGAGGACGCTGCCCACAGGACGCTGTTGGCTGGATATTTATGGTTGGTGGACTAGTCTCAGTCCAGCCATGACACTGAGATGTTTAAAAACTTCAGCAGCACTGCTGTGTCTCCACCACCACATCAGTGTAACTGCAGTGCTGAGAATGATCCACCACCAAAATAGTACCTGCTCTGTGAGGGTCAATGAGGGTCCTGACCACTGAAGAACAGGGTAAAAGGGGGCTAACAAAGTATGCAGAGAAACTTAACTAACTGTAATTGCAGAACTACAAGTGCACCTATACAGTAAGTGGAGCTGATAAAATGGACAATGAGCGTAGAAACAATGAGGTGGTCATAACGTTATGCCTGATCGGTGTGTGTGTGTATATATATATATATATATATATATATATATAATATATATATATGTGTGTAAAGTTTCAATGCATTAGTCCTAATACAAAAAGTGAGACAGTAATAATAAACTAGGTTAGTATGGCCTGCGTTGAAATTACAGTAAAGTTACTGTAAAAAAAACATCAGTGAGAGAGAGAAAACCCACACCAGCAAGAGCTCACAAAGCCCAAAATGCAATGGGCAGCGTGTCTAGTTCGCACACTGACAGAGGAGTTGGACTAGGATGCACGCCAGGTGTCTCTGCACTGTGACAGTGGAGTCTGAAGCAGGTGTCTCTTCACCACGAAAGAGGAGTTTTACTGGGCTGCAAGCCAGGTGACTTGGCACCATGACAACAGAGTCTGACTGGGCCACAAGCCGGGTGATTACACATTGTGGTCAGTAAAGTTTTCTCACTGCCAGCTGGGGAAGTCTGGGTGTGCCATTTCTCCTCCCAGCATTGCGTGTTGTTTTGTTGCTGTAAAGTTTGATGTTTGTCTTGTCTGACCACACTTACATCACTTCCACTACAGACTTCTCAAGCTTTAGCATGGCCTTTCCTTCAGTAATGGAGTCTTCCAGGGTGATCGCAAATGGAGACTGTGGCGGTGGAGTGCAGTGCTCCAGAGTGTTTTCTCTGCAACAACTGTACTTGCTGCATTTACGTCCTTCTGGGGCTCTTTTCGAGAGGTCCTGGCTCTTGGGCTAATCTTCAGACCAACTTTCTGACTGCCTGGTCGGAAAACTTGTGAGGAGCTCCTACGTGTGGCCAGTTGATGGTTGAATGATGTTACTTGCATTTGTGGATCAAGGCCCCAGTGGTGCTTATAGAAACATTTAAAAAGTTTGAAAAATCTGTTGGCAACCAATGCCATTGCTATATTGCTCAAGTATCTTGTTGCATGGGTCATGGGAGGGCTCTACCTCTTAACCCATCATGAAATGTTTCTTGTGTGACAGTTTGGTGACAAATGATTTGTTTACTTGCATTCAGAGGTGGGTACTTCTTTTTATTTTCTTCAAAGAGTGGAAGCACTAACCTACCAACATTCACTAACCCTGCTAATTCTATTCAGGACAGGTAGGAGAAGTAATTAATGAAATCAGCCGGTTTAGTACTTTTTCTTACTCTGTCAAATACTTATTTTCTTGGGTCATTCTGTTCCATGACAAGTTTTTTATAGATTGGCATGCTACGATTTCCTTTTCTGAGTTAATATCTGGTCTAAATTTCATTTGAATAGCTGCACTGATACTGCATTGATATTTGGACAGTGACACTTTCTTTTTGCACAGCCCTCTTTCCAAAAAACTTAAAATGTAAATAAAAACAGAATGGAAGGATGTGCAAATCATTTATTCCCTATATATAATTGAAAAATAGTACAAATATATTGTATCAAATGTTGAAATATTTGAAACTTTTTTTTTTTTAATATATGTGCATTTTGAATTTGATACCAGCAAGTTGTGTAATGAAAAAAAAAGTAAAATGATTGCATATAAGAAGAGCATTGCAGAAAGAGACTGAGTCTTTCAGAAGTAAAGATGATGAGTGGTTCACCACTGTAAAAGACAAGTGCAACAATTTAAAAATATCATTTCTCAATGTAAAATAGCAAATAACTTGGTAATTTCATCATTTAGGGTACATAATATTAAAAGATATACAAAGACAAATACTGGCTGGCTGTGGGGTCTCGGGCCCTCGGGACTGCATTAAAACAGACATGACTCTAGTGGAAATCACTGCACGGGCTCAGAAACACTTGAAAACCACTGTCTGAACACAGTTCACCGCAGCATTCACAAATGCAAGTTAAAAATTTACAATGCAAAGAAAAAACCATAAACAAACAGGATACAAAAACATTGCTGCTTTCTCTGGGGCCGAGCTAATTTAAGATAGACTGAGGCGAAGTGGAAAAGTGTCTTGTGGGGTGCATTAGTGCACGACATGGGGAACTGGCACATACGTGAAGACACCATTAATGCTGAACGATACAAACCGGTTTTGGCAACATATGCTGCCATCCACACAATGTCTTTTTCAGGAAAGGTCTAGCTTATTTCAGTAAGACAATGCCAAACATCTATTACAACAACTCCACAGTAAGTAAGTTAGTGTACTAAATTGGGCTGCCTGCTGTCCAGATCTGTCACCACTGAAAACATCTGGCACATTATGAAATGAAAAATATGACAAAGGAGGCTGTTGAGCAGCTGAAATTCTAATTCAAGCAAGTAATGGGAAAACATTTCACTTTCCAAACTACAGCAATTGGTCTCCTCAGTGCCTAAATGCTTACAGACTGTTGTTATTAATACATAAGGTGATGCAACAAAGTGGTAAACATGCCCTTGTCCCAACTTTTTTGGAACATGTTGCTGGCATCAAATTCAAAATGGGCATATATTTTTCAAAACATGACACAATTTCAGTTTCAACATTTGATATGTTGTCTTTGTACTGTCAATTAAATATAGGGTTTACACAATTTGCACATCATTGCACTCTTTTTATTTACATTTTGCACAGCGTCCCAAATTTTTAGAAACGGGATTGTAATTTTGTGTCTGTACACCACCACAATAGATTTGAAATGAAGCAGTAGTATAAAGTGAAATAAAGTGCTTTATAAAGTTTTTGTATTTAGTTTTTACATAGTCCCTCCATTTTTACAGGCTCAAAAATAACTGGAAAAACCTCAAAAATAACTGGAAAAACAATTTATAAATACAAGGATTATTTTTAATACTTGGATGCAAATACTGTGCAATGACTGCTTGAAGTGCAGTACCTGAAATGTTTTGCCAGGCCTGTACAGTGGCCGCCTTCAGCTGCTGCTTGTTTGTAAGTCTTTCTGCCTTCAGTTTTTTCCTCAGTAAGTGAAAACTATGCTCGACTGGGTTGAGGTCAGGTGACCGACTTAAGCACTGAAGAATATTTCATTTCTTTTCCCCAAGAAGTTCTTACCTCTATACACTTCAGAATTTATCCTGCTATGTCTATAAGCAGTCACATCATCAATAAACACCAGTGCCCCAGTTCCATTGGCAGCCCTACATGCCCATGCCATAACATGGCCTGCACTATGTTTAACAGATGATGTGGTATGCTTTAGATCATGAGCCCCCCTCTCCTTCTCCATACTCTACTAATCTGGTCATTCTGTTACACAAGTTAAAGTTGGTTTCATCTGCCTAAAGAGTCTTGGTAAACCCTCTGTATTTACATTCATGAAGATGTCTGTTGATTGTTGTGAAGAGGTTTTTCTTCACAACGGAATGAATTCTGCAATCATCCACTTTACATGTCTCCTTTTTAAGAAGCCACCAAATTGTTGTTTTGACCAACTCCTAAAGTTTCTGCTATCTCCCTGATAGATTTGTTTTGTTTTACAGCCTAGTGATGGCTCAGTTCACTTGCATCGACAGTTCTTTAGACTGCATATTGAAAGTTCCCATGAACAGCTACCAAATGCATATTCAACAATAGGAATCAACTCCAGATCTTTTATCTCCTTAATTTGTATGAAATAACAAGGGAATAGGCCACACCTGGCCATGACAGTGCTTATCAGGCAACTGTCCAATTACTTTTGAGCATGTAAAATAGAAGGACTATGTAAAAAATGGCTGTAATTCCTAAACGGTTAATGCAATATTTTTGTTAACCCCCTTAAATTAAAGCTGAAAGTTTATACTTCATTCATATCCTGATTTCAGATCCACTGTGGTGGTGTATGTTTGAAAAAAATGTTGGTGTTTAGTACTTATTTCCCCCACTGTATATGAGGACAAAGCATTTTTGAGTGTTCAACATTACAAAAAAAAAGCATTAATTAAATAGGGGTCAGTGTTCTTTAAGTACTGACAATATCCACAGAAAAGAGTACTGTGGAATACTTTGACATAACTTCCCATGATTCAACCTACTTATCTACTTCACAATCAAATAATTTTTATGCAATAAATTTATTTTATTTAAATTAAAAAAGACTGGATCTTTTAGACAAATAATTTGCATCATAAAGCAATGTAATTTTTAGCATATTGCAAATTTTTTGCATTGAGTGCTGTGGGAATTCCCAACCCTAGACACGTTAATGACATGAAAATGACAGTAAAACGGATGACGCCATACTGTCAAACAATACCACACATGGTTTAGTAACTTCATGCTCGATAAACTGGGTGATGGTAATCTAACCCAACAATGAACTGAGCTGAAACCTCTGTATATTCATTACATTTCCTGTGCTTTAGTGTAGGCAATGTTTAGCTGAAGCATTATAGATGGGTCACATACACATTCTATACTGGAGTATCAGATAATGCTGTTTTTTGTTATCTAATATGCTTTTAGCAGTAGTAATTAAGAACACAAAATCTTTTTACTTAAATATATACACTACATCAGTTTTGTCTTCATATAATCTTCCTTAAACAGTACACAGATGATTTCAGGATTAATTTACATTGTGTACCAATTTTCTCCAACTTGTAAAAGAATACCTAGCTGTATCTCTAATTGATCAGACATGCAAGGAAGGTCCTTGCTGCAAGTAACTATTACCAACTTCTAGGAGTCAATATGCTGCATAACATGACAGCTGCTCTGCAAAGAAAACCACAAAGCATTGTAGGAAGCCTAGTCTAAGCTAAGTCAGTCGTGACTTTCTGGGCACCATCTGGTTGTAATAACCAACTTTTATGCTGAGCTGGGAGCAGACATAAGTCAAATTCTAGACCTTTTCTTGGCTATTATAACCATTTTAAAGAAGCTTGTTTTATATATGAACAGTACGTGATTGGCTAACTACATTGCAAAACAAAAAAAAAAATCATATTTGTAATTTTTTTTTTTAATCTGTAAATATTTTTTTCCATTTTCTTCCTTGCGTTTGGTAGCAGTCTTGTGTGATAAAGTCTTTGCCTTCCCCATACTATCAAAATCCAAGTTGGCAAAATTACTTCGGCTTTGGCAGTAGCAGATAAAGACACTGCAGTTTTGCTTAGGTTGCCTAAAGGGTCTGCTTAAAGCCACACTGAGGCATAAATATCTTAACAGTTTAAATAGATTAAACAAACAGTCATCATGAGCTGGTTCAGGAGGACAGCACTCAGTAGAAAAACACTTCTCAACCTTTCAGAACAGAGCCCATCCAAAGATGTTCTTTGGGTTATGTGACTTGATCTTCTTGACACAGCTCTACATATTTCTCTGCATGGGAGACGCACACTTTAGTTCTGGAAGAAATGTGATGTAAGCTGAGTGTATATTGCTACGCTAACAAGCAATCGACTCAAGCTGACAGTGAACGAGGGTCTGCTCACACAGAGAAGTGAGAAGTGACTCTGGTGTGGTCGGACACAAAGCCGTCTTTCACTTTAAACATTCTGCATTGGTAATTACAAGTGGAACATCCCCTCCTCTTCACTTCCCCTCAACAACCAAACTGTGATAAGATGATAGCGAACAAGAACGAAATTAGTCATTTGTCAGTTTAGAAAAGAAAAACTCAAAAAGTGATCTCAATCTCAGACCTGCCTTGAAGAACTGCAAGTACAAAAAGACACACCACTGGCTGGAAGAACAAGATGACACACATCTTCATTCCTTAATGTGTCCACAACACTGAAATACATGCTACAGACAATGACTAAGATTACATGTTCAATTTTCAAAGTCATTCAGAAGGGATCCATAAGTGTGAATATTGGACAAACCATTTCTGTCACAGTAGTTATTAGGGCTTTTGAAGCAAACATTTCTATTTGCTTGATGCAATTTGACAGTGGAAGAGGACAGATAATCATGCTTTTTGCATCTTGGTTTCCTGATTGTAATGTTTATGCATGCAAGTTTAGGCCATCAATATCCTTTTCACTTACCAAAGTTGCTTGAGCAATAACCAATATATTCAGTGATTAAACATTAACCGGCACTCATGATCTCTGAAAACATCAGTCATAAAAACAGATTCTGAAATTTGACTGACTGAGCTATGTTTAAATTCATTGTAAAATGCTTTATATACACACTTATGAAACACAAATCAACTGAAGTCTGTTTTAATGCACAGAGATAAAAGGATTACTTGTATGCACTGTAGACTGTAGTAGGAAACAGGTATTAGAGTGAATATAAAGTAAACAACCCGGAATCATATGAAACAGTTGACAAAATGCTTGGCTACTGAAGTTCTATATTCTAAAGTGCTAAAGTTATATTCACCACTTAATACAAGCCTAAGTTAAAATGAACACACATGCCATTACACGGGCTAGCATTGGCTCAATGTACCTCAGTGGTTCTCAAAAGCTGTCGTTGTCCACCAAACCCTGCTCTTTAATTTAACACCCACATGTGAATTCCTCACAATACCATGAAAAGTAACAGAGGCTTATATTTTTATAGAAAATAAAGGAATACTTTATTAGCTAGTTTCCCCAGACATGGATTAATGAGATGTCTTGGACACTTAAAATACTCCTGAGTCAAGGATTAGGCTCAGTCTAGCTCTGGAAAACCAACCTTATATATGTATGTATAGAAACACACACTGCTTTTATATACTGCTTTGTAATTCATATATAATTTTCTACAACAGATAACACAAATGTTGCTTATGAGAGTCTGATAAAGCATACCGGACATGTTCAGGAAACCCACACAGGAACTAAAGCGATCAAAAAAATGTGGTATTGATATGGCTGATAATATTGGGCCAAAAGACATCAGAAATAAAGACAGAGATCAACAGTAATGATTGTGTGACTGCCACATTATGGTGTTCAAAATGTAAGTTGTAGGAAATAAGACCAAACAAGTAATTAATAATTGATATATAATAAATAAATAATAAATAAATAAATAAATGAATAAACGAATAAACAAGACTATTCATCACCCACTTACTGGTCTAATGCCTTGTAGTAGATGTCCAAGTCTTTGTTGGCCAGCTCAGTGGTTCTCATGACTATCATCTTGTCCCGGAATCTCTCCTCGGCCTGGCAGTACTGGTCCTCACGGAGTTCCTTGCGGAAGCGCAGGATCTCCTCCTCAAAGCCCTTCTGTCGGCCTAACGCCAAACTGCGGTTCTTTTTCAAATCCTCCACCTTCCGCTCCAACTCTCGACGCTCACTGATCAATAAAAAAAACAATGAAACATCCCGTCTTTTTAATACAAGCAATGTCTCGGCAATAGGCAGATGTTCGTTTGAAACCTAACCTAGTTTCTAAGCTTCCAACAACTTGCTCACTTGTATTTCACTAAGAGGAATGTTCATTTAAATTCACCATTCAAATTTTTGTGAATTAAGAATGATTCAATACAATAAACAGCGATTTGATTCAGCAATTTAACTTTGATTGAGTGTGTGTATGTGCACCAAAGAAATTTAAATGCTGACTATGATACACTCAAGTCAGAGACAATTTTATTTCCCAAACATTTTAGCTGATTAAAATTATGTGGCCACATACTGATTAATCCAGAGGAAATATGCAATGTCTACACACTGCTGACGATTTATGTAAGTCAGCAGTTCTCAACCAAGGAGTCGCAAGATAATCGGGTGAGGTGGGGGAGGGGTTTGAGAGGTAGTCATTGAAGAAAAAAAGCCTACATTTTGGCTAACATTTCAAAGAACGACTTATCAAGGAATATCTTTCAATCTCACAGTAACAGTAAGTACGAGCAGAAAATGCAGTGTAGTGAGCCACAACCCCAGCCAGTTATTTTACGAGTTCAAGTTCAGTACAGGATCCATGCAGTGTATTTTTCCAAATAAAAATCTTTGCCTGGCTCTTAGCAGCATCACCCACCTTCGTTCTTCGCATTACCTCTACAATATCATGCTGTCTAATCAGAAAGTTACTGGAAGGAGAAAAAAAAAAAAAGTCTGATTTGTGGAGAGAGCCAGCAAGCAGAAGGTCATGGGTTTGAAATCCCAGACCGCACTAAGTATACTTAGTTGTGCACTGCTAGCAATGATGTGCTGCTTCCATAGGCAGCAAAAAGACAAATTTCCATCGTAGGTTCAACAGAGTATATAACATGACGTAACGTGATCAATAGGTAACTACTATTACAGAGCATTCATGTGGCACATTCACACTACAGGGCACTCATATGGAGCACTGACTTGTCAAAGTCTAGTAAAATCCGAATAAAACAGATAGCTGCTGTGTTTCTTTGTGATCAGTAGTACCTAGGCAGTGCTTTGTAAATCTCTCTCTGCTTTTCCTTTATCATTTACATCTATGTGAGCACAGCCAGAGCCATTCATGAGCTGTGGGGCACTAAAGTCAGGTGAAAAATCATGTTAAATATCAAACACACTTGTTTAATCACACTTGTTCTGTTAATAAAATATCAATTAATTAATTAATAGCATTTAAAATCTATTTTTGACAAATGAAAATGATATTTTTTTCTTTGATTGATACAGTTGCACCAAGGGGACTTGTGAATGATGCATTAAGAAAATGAATGAAACGCTAAACCACTACAGACTGTGAGCCACAATTAGAGAAACATAGTTCATACAGAAACAAGATAGCATTGTACACTTGTCAAAACCTTTCCATACCGAGTGAGTACACAGAAACGGTAAACTTCCCCCCGTCTGAATACACTGTAAATCACAAAGCCACAGAACATGCATAGCACTCTACTTGAGTTCATCAGGTTATTGAAAAAAGTTCACAGAGTCTGTCATCTTGTGAACTCAACAGCCAAAAATTTACCACAGTTAAACACCTATTATAGATGCACTTAAACACACTAATGCAGACCCAATAACGTAATGTAAAGGTGAAATTAATATAAAATACTAAAACAATAAACAATATTCAGGCTAAGGTTCACTTACTTGCGTAACTCCATGACTTGCATGTTGCCCATCTCCTTGAGTAAGACCTCCCTTTTCTTGGACACCTCCTTCAGTTCCTCCACACGCTTTCTTAGTGTCAAGTTATCCTGAAGCCAACGCTCTTGGACCTACAAGAACAGAAGGGGTTAATTTACTATTCACATCAGCAGACAAAAAAAAGGCTATCAAGCAGAGAGAAAGTCAAACTCAACACCTTCTGAGTGTCTATGTCCTGTCGGATATTGCCCATGTCCTTGTTGATCTTTTCCCGTTGTTTCTCAGCTTCAAGCAGCTGGGCATTTGTCTCCTGAAGTTCAGCTTCTTTTTGCTAAAGGAAGAAAAATGATGACATGATGAATAACAAATAATGTAAGATTCAAAAAAAGTAAATAGCAGAAAACTGAATGAGAGAACTGATTTTTCATACCTCCTTGTACTCATCCTTGCCCTCTTCAATATACCTGTTAATTTCTCTTTCAAGATTGGCCAAGTTTTTAATCCTGTCCTTTGTAGCGTTAATCTACAATGGGACACAAAAACAGCTTTGTCATCTCATGACAATTATCGTTGATAACTGACTAAGTTGAAAAGAAATATATACAGTATACATGAAAAGATAAAAATACACTGGAATATATAATTCCAAGGAATATTTAGCACACAAAGAGGACAGTTCAGCTCCATCTCCGGTTATTCATTCGAACATGACAAATACTGAGACACAACTGGAAAACATTAAAATGACAAACTTAACGTTTACTTTTTTGGACATTCAAAAAATGATGCCAGGCTGAACAATTAAAAATAAACTTTCTTTGCAAGATCTGTGTACTGTTGTTGCAAAACAATGTTTTGAAATTTTATCTAACATTGGGCCTGTTTAAACCTTGCATCAGCATGTGTTTTACATGACTGGATCACATCCAGATTTCACCTGAATGCGTGAAAATCCAGGTGTAAACAACCCTAGGAGGCACTGTAATGGGATTTCAATTGGAAGATTCAATCCACATCCAGAGACGAATCCTGACCACATTTAACACAAGCACAAACGGAAAGCGTTTTGATGCGCCGGCATGTTCGTCGACCCCAGGGGGTTAAGTACTAACGACATCCATGATATGCTCAAAAAAGCTTACTGTCACATATTTTGATGTTTTAATTTATCAAGATAATGAAATGTATCTACTTTAATATGCAAATTTATCTATAAGATGATTAAAAAATTGTCATTCTGCTCAGTGCTATGAGCTTGTTGACTCAGAAAAAGTAAAACAGAAATGATGTGTGTGTTGAATATGCTTTGGTAAAATTAAAACATTTCACTTTCAAAACCACAGCAAACCATATATTTAGTTGTTTTGGTTCACATTCTTACAGTTTACAAGGAAAAATAAACATTAACATAAAGAAACCCAACAATTAAAAGTAATAAAAAAAAATCATCATCATCATCATGGTCCAGCCAGGGTCGTGGTAGCAGTAGGGAAAGCGGAGAATCCCAGACGACCTTGTCCCCCACTGAGCTATGGCTCAGCTCCCTCTTCACCACTACAGTCCAGCATAGCAACATCACTGCTGCCACCCGTCCCAGCCTGCGGCCCATCTCATGATTCCTCTTCCCAACACTTGTGAAACTGCTCCAGTGAATGCTAGAGACATCCATGTCATGGAGCCAAAAGCCCTTCCTGGATCAGGGCCTTGTCGTGGCGGAAGGGCTTATATAGTTTCGGGATCTTCAGAGCCAAGATGTCTGGAGCAATATGCTCCTGGTAGGGTCTCCCAAAGCAAACAGGTCTGGAGTGAAGACCCAGATTAAATCAATCCAATTTTCCCCATGATTAAGGGACACAAGATACTGTGGGTTAGCGGGACCTACCCTTGGAGCCAGGCCTGGGGTTCTTCTGCGAGCGCGTGGTGGCCGGCAATCCACGTAACCGGCTGGGCTTAGTGTGTGGGGGACCATGTGGGCACACCACCTGCTAGACCCAGTGTGGAGGACTAGTGCAATGCCATATAGGCAGTGGGAGATGGCAGGGAGGTTCTTGGCGGCATGGACCCCTGAGGCAGAAACCAGCTCTTGGCACATGGAAGGTAACTTTTGGAAAGGACCCCACCTACAGACTCCATAGCTGTGCTGGGAGATTTCAGTGCTCATATTGGCAATGACTGGGAAACCTGATCGGAAATAATGGCTTGCCCAATATAAAACCAAATGGTGAATAGTTATTGGACTTCTGTGCTAGTCATGGACTGTCCATAACAAACATGAAGTTCAAACACAAGGATGTTCCTAAATGTACTTGGTACCAGAGCGCCTTGGGACAAAGGTCAGTGATTGACTTTGTTGTCATTTCATTTGACTTGGGACCACATGTTCTGGACACAGGTGAAGAGAGGTGCTGTCAACCAATCACCATCTGGTGGCGAGCTGGATCAGATGGCAGGGAAGACTGGCAGTCAGACCTGGTAAAATGCAGCAGCAGCGGTGGTGGCTGAAGCAAAATCCAGAACATGGGAGGAGTTTGAGGAGGCTATGGAAAAAGACTTTTGGTTGGCTTCAAGGAGGTTCTGGGCAACTGTCCGGCGACTCAGGGGCAGTCGGACTGGCTTTGCTCAAGCTGTACTCAGCAAGGGGTGGAATAACTCTGACTTCAAATAAAGATATTGTCGAATGGTGGAAGGAGCACTTTGTGGAACTCCTAAACCCGAGAGACATGCCTGCCTCATGGGAGTCAGGGCCAGAGGCTTCTGAGGTATCAGACTCCATTTCCCTGGTGGAGGTCACTGAGGTAGTTGCAATGCACCAGGAGTGGATGAGATCCAGCTGGAAATGCGAAAAGGCTCTGGACGTTGTGGGGCTGTCATGGCTGACACGCCTCTGCAATATTGCATGGACCTTGGGAACAGTATCCTTGGACTGGTAGACCAGGATCGTAGTCCCTATTTTTAAGAAACCCTAAACCTAACATCTGAATAGACGATCTACAGACAAAGCCTACGATTTATACATGAAACGCAGCCTCTGTCAACAGCTCTGTCCATGGACAGTTTCAAATAAAGCTGTTTCATTCAAAATACCATGCTGCGCACATGTTGCAAAGCAGAGTGGCAAAGGAACTGAGCAGCGCTACTAACACTGAGCACTGAAACTAAAAGCAGATGGTGATGTACACGGTAGGACAATACGGTCTCTTTGTCTCCATTCAGTTGACCTGCATGTCACACTGGGGAAAGCAGTTGTGAGTGCGTTTAAAACGGGCTAAAATCACACGCTGTATTTCTGGCAAGAATATACCAAGGCGACATGTTTGAAATGGCAGAACGCTTTGTGTCTGACTGTGACTGGGTCAGTAACACTCCTCTGTGAGAGCAGAGCCTTGTTCGCTGCATTTTGTTCTTTAGCGTGGTGCAAATAATCAATTACTGAATAGATAAATAGTTTTTAATTCTATCTTCACAAGAGTCAAAAACATTTGCATAGTTCTTTGTGTCAGTACTATGTTACTGAGAATTAGGGTTTAAAAAAAAAAACAAAAAAAAAGTCCACACACTTTTTGCTGTACCATATGGGGCTCCCACTGATAAATTATACAAGTATTTCTTATTTGCAATGGTAATGAAACTCAAATATTTTTGGACATGTTAAGGCAAATGCAAGCCTCACCATGATGTAAAGCAGATTCTCACAGTATTACAACAAATATTTGATCAAATTTGATGGATTCCAAAATATTTGCAAAAGTTTTCCTGACAAAAAGGAAATTCATAATAAGAAAAAAATAATCCAGTCCCAATTCAATCAATATATTTAATTTTTTTTATTTTTACATGTTTTCCTTATCCATTGCAGAACATTCTAAAATGAAAAATGAGACCTGCAGTGCTGCAGCCTCTGCATAAGATGATAATATTGTTTTGAACTGCAATATATAACATCTATATGAAAGCTTTTTTCACCCCTTTTTGCCTCTGTGGCCAAAGTTAAGTGTTTTAAAACAACAATAAGCTACACACCCTTTCCTGGCCTTCATCTTGCTTCTGCCTTCTCCTCTCAATCAGCTCCTGCTTTTCCTGCTGGAGCTTCTCCAAAGTGGCCACCAGTGGAGACACCTGCTCCTTTGCTTCCTACATCACAAATTATGAGGACATTTCAGCAAGTCAAGAATATTTGGTAATTTATAATGTCCATCACTGGAACATGTGTAGTGACTGTGCCATAATTTGATCTTTGTTATCCCAAATATTGCAGATAAACTACAAGGCTGAGCAGCACGAAGGAAAGATATCCTAAAAAATTATAAGAAGAAGCTGTTGCACTTCAGAATACGTTACCCGTATTTCTCTATGCAGTGCCTGAATCTCAGTGGTTAACTCCACACACTGTTCTTCCAGCTGCTGCTGCTTCTGCATGTTACTGGAGATTTGGAGCTTTTCTGCACGTATTTCATTCACACTGCTCTTCAGGGTCTGGATCTGCTCCTGCTGGTCCTGGATAAGTTTGCGCTTAAGTTCCATCTTACTGCATGCTGTATATGGAAAAACAGATAAGAATGAAGTCTTGCTAGTTGTTTATCAAACAATTAGGGGAAAAGTGTAAATAACAGAACACGTATGCAATCATAAATGTGCCCTGCACTTCTACACACTGTCTACTTGTTACACATGACAGTCATAAGCAAAAGTTTGAACGCAACCAGGTCTAATTACATGTTTTCATGATTTTATGTAAAAATCAATCTAGCACCCTCTACAGGGAACAACCTTAAATATTTTTGGTCCTTAAATATGGCACTTTAGTGCATAATTTCTTTTTATTTGCTGAATTTAACATATTGGAAAATAATAAAACATAAAATATAAAATGTGTCTTAACTTTTGCATAGGCCGCAATTCTATATTTACCCCCAATCTATACTTAGCCATTTTTTGTCCTAACTCAATTAGACTGAGACATCAGGTGGAGCGGCAGGCTGTGACGCACTGAGGAACTGAACAGTGCTTGATGAAGCACCGGGTGGAGGTGTGTGGGCCTTTAAGTATTTTAGGATGCTGCACAATGCCTTTACAGATGGCAGTTTTGCATGCCCAAGATGTAAAGGTATGTACAAGTAAATTACTGGATGCCGGCATCAGCCCAGAATTTCCGTATCTGTGCATCTCTACCAAGTATTCAGTTTATTCAGGCTTTATGTTGAGTTTTAGTCTGCTGTTCACACTTTTGTCCAAGGTGCTGGATGTTAAAGGTTCATTGCTCGTACTGGTGTCCAGACGATGCTGGGTCTCCTGCTTTTCTTGGCTGACATGCTGCATAGTCCGGTTCAGATCCACTCCCTGAAGCTTGGCCGCGTGCTGAGCTATCTTTCTCTCCACATCCTTCAGGTCCATCTGCAATACAACAAAATATCACAGAATATCATATATTTTTGAATTTTGTTATATATTTTTAACCCAGGATAAAATAATGATTGATTACAAAAAAACAAAACACACACACACACACAACAAAACAAAAAAAAAGATATATAGAACTAAACAGTCAAATGTGGCCGATCGGACAAATGATTTTGCTATTACAATAAATTAATTCACAGCAAGCTTTTATTGTGGAAATTATCAATACATTAAGAAAACTGATCAACTGCACATTTCATTAAAAACAGATTTTAACAGTGGCATAGGAGCATAATTTGACCTACATAATTGGATACCGTGTCAAATAAATATTAAGCACTGTGATAAAGGTTGGCCATCCAATCCACCTTATTATACAGTGTTATCCTGCATTTAAAAATGTACTATACCACTCTGCAATGAGTTATAACCTCAGGATGATAAGTCAGACCTGGTAGCGGTCCATAAGGGAAATGTCCTGCAGACAGGCCTTGGCTGTGTCCTCCTCTGACATCAACATGGACAGCATAGTCTCCTGCTCTTCTATGTCCTCCTTTAATTTCTCTATCTCACGGTTCACACTCTGCAGCTTATTCCTCAGCTCTGGCAGTTCCTTCTCCTGCAGCTCCGCTAGAGACTGTCTGCGGACGCAGGACACAAACACACCCACACAGATGTAATTGGAATTATTTCTGTATTCTGTCTTTTAGAATTAAAATTTTAGTATGCAATAAAGGCTACATGCCACTGACAGCATACAGTACTGTGCAAAAGTCCAACAACACCTTTCATTTTATTTCCCATTAAAACGAGTATCCACTGTGAGTCGGTTACTGAAACAACAGAAAAAAAAAACACCGTGGGGGGGTGGGGAGCTCAGGTGTAGGCACACGGCGAAACCCCCTGTCTGTAGGGAAACAAAACAGGTACACGGTGAGAACGGCAACCACTACGTTGACCCGAGTCACCCTTTCTGTCTCCCAACTCTTTCTTTGTAAAGGGTAGGCGCAGGGCGTGTGGACAAGTTGCAGCTGGGCTCTCATTAGTAGGTCTCAGCCAAGCTAGATGAGAGGGGGTCCACCTCCTGGCTATGCGCTTCTTGCTGTCCACAACACTGGTACTGAAACACCTTTCTCGGCTCTTCAGCACCCTGGAGAAGGCCCGCATCTCCTGGGTTGGCTTGATTTGGTGTGCCACAGTGGAACCCTTGGATCCACTGTGACACAGCCCTTTCTCTTTATAACAGCTTCCATTCTTGTGCTAATCCCAAAAATATTCAGTGATGCAGAAGCCTGGGCTCTGGGGAGGAAAACAGCTTTTTTTTCTTCTTCAAACCCACAGAGTTGAGTTGTCTTTTGGAAGGACGAACAGAAACTCCTGTCAATTTTTTCAGATCTGCAGCAAGAATGAAACTTGATTTCCTGCTGTTTTCACAGGAAATTAAATAACTCAAGGGTTGTCTCTGACTTCCGCACAGCACTTTACAAAGCTGGCAAATGAGTAATAAATTGGCCATACAATCTGCATCCAGATAAGATGGACTGAAGAATAACTACCTAGTGATAAAGGAATCTGAAATGACCCGTGTGTCTGTCTGTACAGGTTCTGCAGGTTGAAGCAACAGCTCCACTAAAATTTAAATCTACACAATCGTAGCCCAGATGTAGTCAATCAGACAGGATATGTTCGGTGTCTGAAACTCACTCTTTTTGCACTGGAGCTAGAAGGCTAATGAAGCTAACAAGGAATGTAAGATGATATCCCCCTGGCTAGAATAAGGTCAAGTTGTTAAGTAATCTCAAATAAGCATGTTTATGTGATAACTGACACTGTCTGACGTACTTTAACCTACATCTTTTGAGGCAAGTTAGCTCAATGGTAGTATGGTGGAAAATTTGCTTCCTTTACGTCTTGTCTACACTAGCTTTATAGCTGCAGGGCACAACTAAAGAAGCACATTTCTGCCTCAAAACATGTCTTGGCTGGTCGACTACATTTGGGGTAAGAGGAAAATTGCGTAAATGTCATTTTGCTAATCCTCTTACAAAGCAAGCTCTGCACTTTCACCCACTAAGGAGCATCCAACCGCATAAGCAGAGACTCTTTGGCACAACTCTTTGGAAACAGTTTGTCATGAGGGGCAAATGAGACATGAAAAGTGATGTTCTAGAAATGCTAGGTTTTTCCTCAAACCTGAGTCAAAACCCAGTATCAAAGTATTTAACTGCTGGTTCAATTGTTCTGGAAAGATTTTGGTCATCACAATGTCATTTTGCTATTTTTATGTTTTTATGACTTTGTTTTCACTGCACTCAATTATGCCACAAAGTGCTCATTTCTAATTTACTGCTCAAATCTACGTTTTCTCTGTGGTAACTGACACATGGTCTATTTAATGTGACTCACATCCAACATCAGTCTGAACAGGTCATCCAGCCGGCACACACTTCCACCAAACATATCTGTCCTCTATCTCTCCTTAAAAGCCCCTACACTCAAAAATATGGTCCTCTTGGATGGCTTATTATGATTATGCAGATTTGTATTTGTGTCAAAAGTGTTAATATAACACAAAGTTCACATTTTTCCAAACAAATGTTTTCTCAGTGGGGCACCACATAGTTTTGTATGTCACGAATGAGCCTGAACCTATCACAGGTCAATATACTTAAATATGCTAATCACAGGATTACAACATGACAGGAAACTTTTAGCTAGTGAACATTAGTTTGAGATGTCTAGACTGCAGTTAGCAGTTATCAAAAATAGATAAATGCTGGTATGATGGTACACATGATCTAAATGCATTTGAAATTCTGCCTGAATTTCACTTAATGAATTTGTCAGATGTTGTGGTTTCCCTTCTTTACTTTAACAGTCAGGATAAATACTTCAAAAACTGTTTGCTGAACATAAGTGCATAACATGGATGTGAGCAATTCTACATGCCTGCAACTGCATAACAAAGCTGTAAGTCCTAAAGGCCCCCCTTGTAGAGAAGAGCAACAATGCACACTGTTTGTTAAAGGCTGCATCTTTGCACAATGAGCTGGCAATTCAGCGCTGTAGTCCCAGCTCAGCTTCTCACCTGAGAGGTTTGAGGGCCATCATCTCATCACGCTTGCGCTCCTTCCTCTTCAGGTCCTGCTCAGTGTTCTTCAGCTTATCGGGAACCAGACGCAATTTGGACTGCATGTCGTTAATGACGTCCTGGAGCTCGGCCTCAGAGGGAAAGATGCGCTGACACACCGGACAGCAAGGCTCGCCTTCCTCAGTTAGCTGACTGATGAACTGAGTGTACACGGCCGTGGCTCCCGCCAGCATGGCTGATTGAGAGGCATAGAAAATGTTATTGTCTTATCTTTTGACATTATTTGTTACTTTCCATTCTACAGTAAAATCGTTAATTCCTACAGATAAAACCTGACAAATGAATTACAACGCACATGCTTTCTTTTAAGACATAGAAGGGAACATAATTCAGAAAAGTCAATGCTTTATGTCAGCGCACTTCTGATAACCTTTAAATTAGATTAAATCAAATGTGTAAAAAGTATTTATGACCAGGCTATACTATCCTGAAGTCTTTCATACCTCTCTGTTTGGAGCATTTCTCCAGGTCATCCCGCAGTTTGCTTAGGTCAGACTCAAAGTCCTGACTGCCGCATACATTGAAGAGCTTCTCCTCATAGCTGGTCAGCTGCTGCTCTTTGCGACGAATCTCAGCTGTAAAGTGACTCTTATTCTGCTCTCTGGATGCCAAATCTTTACTGAAAGATTCCAGAGTGTGGACACTGATTGGTTTGAATTTGTTTACACTACAATTACAAATTAAGTAAATTATTCTTATTCTAAATCTTACGGCAACGACAGTTCTCAGGATTGACCTGTGGATAAGCCCTGCCTACTTGGTTACTGTTGCTATATCTAATAAGCTTTTGAAGGTGGTATTTAATACTTAACTAGTATAACTAGTAAATAACTAGTAAACTGTGATTAGGAATTAATTACATGCTACAGTGATATTGCTTATTAGAATGTGTCTAGGTTATTCCTGCCTAAATTTTATTTGTTTTAGCTACAAATTAAACACTAAACCCAATGAGCTAACAATACCAAATACAGACTTCATTACCTAGCCTAGGGGTCGACAACATGCGGCTCTTTTACTGCCCTGTTATGGCAGAATTACACAGCAGAATTAGATTTTTAGGTAAAAATAAAATAATCCTCCTTTGCAGTAAAATAAAGTTCTGCTGATCATTCTAACACAGTTTTAATAACAAATGGTCTTAAACGCTGGAGTTAAACAGTACATAACTGCTAATTCACCCTGAATTAATAACTGCAAATAACCCTGAAGATTGGCGCACAGACTGCTGGTCACCATAGCAACGCAGACAACAATCTCGACTAGCTAGTAACGAAAAGGCAAAGAGAGATTTAAGATGAACATTGATAATTTGGAGATGAATGGACTTATTTGCATTTATAAGCACTCTTATAAGATGGTTTCCTAGTACATTTAATCTGCAACAAGAAACTGTCAAACACTAAAAAGTCGATTCTTAAAGCTGCACTAAAAAGCTTCTTGTTGGAATTTTCCCGTTCCACCTTAAATGATGCAGCAGTTGCATTCTGGCGCCTCAGGCACCATTTAAGGTGGAACGGGAAAATCAGAACAAGAAGCCGGTGAATGAGAAGACTTCAGCAATCAAACATTTTTACAAGAAACTATTTCACTTTTGAGGAAAAGTTTCCTGCTGGAGATGTGAGGAAAACGACTATAGCTGAGCTAAAGCATAAAGCAGAACAAAGTGCGTCTGCGTTGTTGTTGATATTATTTTTTTACCCTATGCTAGGACATTAGCAAATACTGAGAAAGATGTACAGCCAAGAGGGTAAAATGGACATAAAATGTTGTGGCTCCGAAGGCGGTTTCATTTTTGGTGAAAGGACAAAATGGCTCTTCTTAACATTTGGGTTGCCGACCCCTGACCGAGCTTGACCTGCTACTTAACTGACTGATATTACCAACTAAACCTGAAGATACAAAAAGGAAGATGCAAAGAATTTTTAAACTCACTTGAGCTTGCCCAGCTTCTCTCTCATTGTGTTGATCTCTCTGGATTTGCTATGGATCCAGTCCTCTAACTCCCTCTTATTAGGGAAGTGGCCCAGCAGAGAAACTAGGTCTTCATTGTGTCTGGACTTAATCTTCCTTACTTGATCTTCTTTATCTGTCTAGACTCCAAAATTTAAACAAAGTAATACAAGCAAAAGTATTTTGTATTCCCAAGATCAGAACAACACCAGTCCATAGGGCTGGACTGAACAGTCTGAAAACTTCAGTATTTGTTCAGCACATCAGTTTTCATTTCACTACTATGTATCTATCTAATATTGGGAAGCTTTGTATTTTTTGACTGTCACAAAAACTGTAATCTAAGCTATGAAAGATTTCATCAGCAAAGGCCTTAAGACAGAAGTTATTCATAGCTGGTTTATGTTAAATGCATTAATTAATGTCAGGTGTCCACATCATCTCACTTCAAAGTGCAAGAAACTGTACTGCTTTCCACATTGCTTTTGCTGGTGGCAGTGTGGGTGCTCTCAGGCAGAGCAGTCTGTCGCAGGGCTAGAATTCTTTAGTGTGTAGACTGAGAGCCGTATTCTGTGGGGTGGACATGATTAAACTTTCAGCAATCCTGTTCCCTTGCAGCCTGAGATACATGGTCCTTCTTGCATTCAGCTCAGCCTGTTGCTTCAAAAGCTCCTCAATCATCTGCCCTACTCTCTAAAACTAGTCTGTGACTGAGCTCAACTCTGCCTGTGTGTTGCCCTGTTTTCCATAGCAAAAAAAGGGGCAAACTAGCCAAAATCAAATAACTAGATAAAATAAACAAAAACAATTAACTAAACAAACTAAAACCGTGACAGTAGTGCAGAGAACTATAATTTTATTTTGTTACACACTTAGCATCTCACCCTTATGTGACTCATAAATGCAATATATGTGAAGAGACTCATAAAAGCTGCTTCTGAAAGAGGGCGCTACAGTCCTGGATTCTATAAGCAGCTGGGCTTCAGAATGATTATTAATACATTGTTGCCACCTACTGGATAGATTTTGAACGGCAGTAACGAACATACTTTTTTCGCTTTTTCAACAAGTTTAAAAAACATGAAAACCAACAAGTTTGAAGCATGTAAAATGCTGTTCAGGCCAGCCCTACAAGGCAGTACTGGGGATGTACAGAGGCAGTGGTTACACTGAAGGCAGAGTGCAAATGTCCTCACCTTATCCTTTTTGAGCATGTCCATCTGCGTGCGTGCTGTGGTGTGCATATTGAGTGTCTCCATCTCCTGGTCCAATCTACGCTGGGCCTGGTCCAGTTCTGCTTTTTCTCTCTGCAGCTCCTGCACTTCTACCTTCAGACTGTCCACTGTAGAGCTTTGCACAGCATTATCCAGATCTCGCTCCTACACACAGTTGAAAAACGACACCTATTCAGATTCTCAATTACTGTTATCATTACAGTACACACCCAAACATACAGCAGAATTACTGTTACGTTTTACCAACACTGATGACTGAACTGCTGTTACTATTGAAAGTTAGATAAATGACTGAGTTCCACAGCACTCAAAGGCTACGTTTACACAGCAGGTAAAAGTGGCCCAAATCCGATCTTTTACCTCAAATGTGACACAGATGTGTCATCTGTGTGGCTGTGTGAACAGCAAAAAACGCACTGAATCTGACATTTTCAATTCCGATTTGAGACGCTTTTCATATGTGGTACTGCAAACACGATACGTATCCGATCTGCAGCAATGCGACTCAGGCTGAACAGCCAGATCAGAATCCATGCGACTTTTACGTCAGTAAAAGAGACGAGGCTGCAGCGTCAGAGAACAGTTTAAAGAATCCGAGGACACGAACCAAAGAAGTGGCCGTGGCAGAATAACACGCCCTTTTTTGGCGAACTCGAACACACTGTGGGTGATGAGTCCAGCTGTCAACCACTGGAACTTTATACTCGCTCATGCAATGCTGGCAAAGACGAAACTGAAAGCTCCGGGAGCGGAGTGGCGTTCGCTGGCCGTCATGACTGTTTTACCTCTGGAGGCCACGTGAAGCACTGTTCTTTTGCGCATGCGGGTCGGTTTAGGAGTGTGATCTGTTCAGACTGATGTCGCATACAGGTCACATTTTAAAGATAATGTGAACAGCCAAAAAAAAATGGATTTGGTGAGAAAATCCGATTTGGGCCACTTTTACCTGCTGTGTAAACGTAGCCAAATAGACTGGTTTAAACATAAATGGGAGATTACAGCCTTTTGTTGTTCTTCTTCTTCTTATAAACTTTTCAGGGTGCCAAAATTGTCACTGACATTCTGAGAGATTTCAATAAATGAGTATGTGGACATAAGTGGAAGCCTTTACTTTTCTTACTGATGGCTCCTAACCTGTGTATTTAACTTAAAGAAACACAACCACTATCTTTTAATAATAAACAGTACACTAGCCAAATCCATACATTGCAATGAATTCTACGGCTATGACTGTACATCATTTGTAACATTGATACATGTAATGCATGTAAAAAAAAAATGCATTACATTATGTGTTACCATAAGAACAAATCAGAAAATATGGGCAAAAGCCTCACCGCTTTCGTAAGCTCTGTCTCCAGCTCCTGCAGTCTGGAGGAGGAGCCTTCCAGTCTCTGCAGGTCAGACTTGATGTTCTTCAGCTCCTGCTGCTTCTTGGCCTGTATGTCCCTCTTCAGCTCAATGGTTCTCTCCAACCCCGTCTTCTTATCACGGATGTCATCAATGCTCTGCTGCTTCTGTGTCTCCTTCTCTTGCATGTCAACCTTAAAAGTTTTTTCCATTATCACATCACTAAGGCTTGAAGGTAAACTAAGTAAAATATGTGTAAGTGATGACATAACATGTGTTACGCAAGTGCCCACAGAATATCTAGTATAACATAGGGAAAGTGAATTATTACATTTTTTAAAAGAACAGTGGTTATACTGTACATTGGTTTGTGCAGGTATGTATAACAGCAGTGAAATATCAGATGACATGTAATCAAATGCTGTATGCTGTAAGAAAATCCACACTCTCAAAAGCAAACACTTAAAATGTACTTTACAAAAAATAATGCTTACCATGACCTTGTTGAGGGCCTCAGTCTCATTGTCCTGTCTCTCTTTGACCTGTCTATGGAAGCTCTGGAGTTGTCGCTCATTGAATGGAGCTCTATCATAGCCCTCCATTTCTAGATAAGATGCCAGGGACTTGACTTGAACATCTCTGTTCTTTACATGCGATGCCTGTCTGTCTGCTTCCATCTGGAGACGCCCTGCGGTAAGTCAATAAGATGTGTTAAATACACATAAGCAGTGAGGATACAAATGTGGTCTGTGACAACAAAAGCAACAAACATGAACCTCTGTATTCGCAGTCAAACAAAAGCAACATGCTCAGCATGAACATGGTCAGATGTTTCTAACGAGATTTTGCTACCCCCATGGCTGCCCCTTCTTCTTTTTCCCCCATTTACTAGTCAAACAAGGGAATTCATAATATAGTCAGTCAGATTCACAATTTTTTATCAGTTGATCCCACCAACCCACCTCCATCTTCACAAGGCTTTGAAGGAAACCTCTTTAACTCCGTTGAGACCACTGGTGGTTCCAAAATGCACTTCATCATATTCTTTACTTCATAATTTTTATATTTCATAAGCTACGTTCAAAAGGTGGGTGTCATATGAGAGCTGTAACTGTCTTAATTTTAAAACTTTATAATAAAAGAAGCTGAACTTAGTATTATGAAGTTGACCCCCCCCACAAATCTGCGCTATAAACTGGATCTCAGAAGGTGTCTCTTCAGTGAAAAATATTTTTATAAAAAAATACACAGAGCACTTAAGATTTTCGGCTTTCAGCAGTAAATTGTAAGCACATGACATTATGTTTATGATCGTAAAACACATTTTCTGTTAGTCTGAGGACAGGAAAAACACCAACACTTTACATTTGATTTATGCCGTTACTGAATAACTTGCCTTAGGATTTGGGCATGTAAATTCAGGCGGAAAAACCAAAATACACCCTGGAAAACAACTGGTTAATCAAATCAGCCCTACAGGTTTGTTACTGAGATTACTGAAGTTCACTGTGCTATAAGCACCCATGTTGAAAAGCTGTTGTAGTGATTTGTAATACTGTTTTACAGGGATGCATTGAAATTTCGGCCAACAAAAACGGTCCAAAATCAGTTTTCAGACGAAACGAAAGAAGCAAAGAGACAGGTAGACAGGTCTGCAATGAATTGTCAAAATCTAACACTTAACAAATAATCTGAATGAAAAATGAGAAACTGTGTGATTAAAGACAGTTTGTTCCTTAGCTCAGAGTTGTCCAATCTTATCTGCAGGGCCAGTGTGGGTGCAGGTTTTTGTTCCAAATAAGAAAAGCACACCTGATTGCACTCGTTTAATCAGTCAGTCTCAGTCTTTAAACAACTGATGAGGTGTGCTCCTGCTGTGCTGCAATGGAAACCTGCAGCCACACCGGCCCTTCGTGGATAAGATTGGACAGCCCATGCCTTAGATCTTCTGGTCATCGTAGATGCATTCAAACCATCAGAGCACCAGAAGATCAACAGTAAAACACACATATACACAATCCACTGCGTCTTAAACATATTTTGTTAATAAACTTGTTCACCTCTGATTTTGAAAGTTGTTACTGCAAACAAGTGCATTTGTTAGACCCTCCTGGACTCTGTGGCTGTCTTTAAATGGCGAACAGTAAAGCGACTAGCATGCTCATAGTGCCTTCCTGCTTGAGAAACCCAACTGCCACACTCACATGCTTTACATATACAAATAAATAAAATAAATAAATAAAACGGTACAAATTATATACAAAAAACAAACCCTCTCTTTTGGTTTTCAGCTGTGTGTCCTGAATTTTGGTCAAGAATTTTCATTTTAGCGTACCACCAGTGTTTTCTAAGGCTATGCTCACACAGCAGATAAAAGTGGCCCAAATCTGATATTTCTCACCAAATCCAACTTTTCGTTAGGCTCTTTACAATATTTTTTAATGCGACCTATATCTGACATTATATCTGAACAGATCACATTCCTAACTCACATGCACAAAAAACAATGCTTCACATGGCCAAGCATCCAGAAGTAAACAATCAAAATGGAGTCAACAGTCACAGCCACTAGTCTCAATTTAATGCTCATGTTAACGTGCGATAGAGATTTCAGTTTGATCTTTGCCAGCATCACAGGAGCTATCAACAAGTTCAAATGCCTGACAGCTGGGTTTATCACTTCCTCACTGTGGAACCCTGAGCACATACGAAAGCATGTGATGACCGCAGAGAAAAGGATGACAACAGCGAGGGCTAAGGGACGACACCTGAGTCCTGGGCCCTGCCTCCTGGACAGCCCCCAGTCCCACAGTGAGGCCACTTTAATAGACTTGCATGTTTGATCTCGGCGTCTGAAGCTGCTAAGTAGGGGCGGAATCAGCGAACTCCCGTTCCCTCTCAGCTTAGGCACTCAAGCTGCCCTTAATTAAAGCCGGGTGAAGCTGATTTGGTTTTGGCAGTATGTGTGCCTTTAAAAGGAGCAGATAGAAAGAAAGAAAGCAAGAAAGCAAGAAAAAAAGAAAGAAAGAAAGAGAGAGAGAGAGAGAGAGAGAGAGAGAGAGAGAGAGAGAGAGAGGACAAGAGAGAGAGCAAGGACTGGCAAGCTGGGAAGTTCGCATGAGAGAGAGAAAACAGACTGAAAAGTCTAACGTGGAAGCCACTGGACAAGTGGCATGTTTCGGCTTTGTTTGTGCTTTGCATGTGAACATAAAGTTAAAATGCTTGCTGCGACTGCTTCATCTGTCTCCAGCGTCCTTCCTGTACCCGGGGTAGCACAGGCCGTGCTACAATATAATAAAAAATCTACAAACATTAAAGAGAAAATTATTAGGTACCCTGTTCAATGAGTAGGTCTGACTTGAGGCGGTTCATTCTCTGACAGTCTCGACCTGCCCTCTCTAGGTCACGCTGACATTCTGTGAGCCTCCTCTCTTTCTCCCTCACAGTGCGCTGGTGGTTCTGGTACATCTCTTGCAGCTGCTCATCTGTACCCTGGAACACCTGCACACACCAAAGCAATAAAAACAACAAACATAAGCACATTTCAATAATCACTGACTATCCAGTGATTTTCCTGAACAACTAATTTTAAAGAATGTCTGTGTACATGTGTAGGTACAAAACAAAATGACAATTAAATAACCATTATATTAATCTTCTGATTATGTTTCTTTACATTCAGAGCTTTTTTGGAAGTTTTGAAATACAGAATTCATCAAAACCCAATACTGGTAAGGCATCAAAAAGATGATATATCAGGCCAAACTACTCCTTCACTGCCCAGAAGGTTCATTCTATATCAAATTTCATATTGGTTTAAAAGAGAAGAACTACACTTAAAGCTGCAAAGTGCTGATTTGTGAAAACGTATAATGACTGTAGGAATAAACGGCACGATCTCAATTTGAGGGCCTATACTGCCCTCAACAGGATTAACCTGCTATAAAAACCTTAATTCACACAACAAACTAACTGTAAAGAATTCTTATTTTGGGGGTTAATGGAGGTCAATATCATTGTGTTAGGAAATAAATATCACTTTACAATAGTCAATACAAGACTGTATTTCACTGTTGTTATTTGGTATCAACACCTTTGGTGAAATGTTATTTTTTTAGATGCTAATATAACAAACAAAAGTCATGCTAATCTTGTCAGTATGCTGATCATGCCGTTTTCATTTACAAACCACAATTTCTAAAAAGTTGGGACTCAATGTGAAATACAAATAAAACCAAAGTACTGACAGTAAATTACGTTTGACCTGTATGAATGCGATACAAGCACATAACACACCTTACAATCAACCACAACAATACACTTCACATCATCACCAGACTCCACAATGCTCCCTACAATTCCTAACACTGCACAATAAGTGTATATGTTGCTATATCGGTACTTATCTAAACAGTCCACTCTACAACTGACTGAGGGATAAAAGAGTTCCTCAACCTATTAAGTCTTGACTCTAAAGCATCCATTTAAAGGCAATAAGAACTCTTAAAAATTGTGAACTATAGAATATATTAATATGAAATATGAACTATTTATTGTGTACTACGTAAATACACTCATTTGAAATTTAATATCTCTAACTCCATCCAAAAAGGTGGACAGGTGCAGGTTTACCACTGTGTTACACTACCTTTCCTTTAAATAACACTTAACGAAGCACACAATACAACAACGAAGCTGAAGACTTCCATAATGGACAAATGGTGAAAAATTCCACTTTTAAAACTGGATCGGTTTGTGTCTTTGTGTCCTCAGTTGATTATTAAGTTCCACAAGTTTTCAAGAGGACACAAGTCTGAACTGTAGGCAGGCCAGTCTAGCTTCCACAATCTCTGATTATGCAGTCATCTTTCAACGTTAATGGTGCTGTCACCGATGTGCAAGTTACCCTTGACATGGGCACTAATATACTCTCATACTATGACACACTCTAGCTTTTGAACTTTACAATGGTAACAATCTGGATAAACTCGACAGGAGGACATAATTATTTCTATAAACAATTTAAAATGTTGTCTTGTCAAAGAGAGCAATACATTTCCACTGTTCATCAGTCTATTTAACATGAGAAGTCAGCTGTGTTTCTGCATGGTACAGTCTTAATTTGCATTTGTGTTTATGCGCAACAGTTTGTCAAAATGTTCCCTGGCCCACGTGGCGATATTGATCACAAAAGCATACTGATTTAGATGGAGCACCACCTAAAAGATCAAACATCACAGGCATTCAATTGTGTTTTTTGGCACTGACCGGATTGTGATCATTACACACGCACAACCACAAGCTTCAATACAGGACTATTTACTAATACAAGGTGTAGGTATTAAATAAAATTAACAGACAGACAGAGAAACTAGAGACATGAGTTTTACCAGATGAAGATACTGTAATTAGATGAGACTTGGAAATAGTAATTTGATGGCATTTGAGCAGTACCCAGAATGGAATATCAATGCTAGCGAAACAACTGATCTACATTTAGATTAAATGGGCAACAAAGTACCACAGCGAGACCAAATCATATGGAGAGGAAGTGAAAGTGCCTTACAGCCTTGGAACTTGAGGAAAGCTGCGATGCCCCATGTGCTGCACTGAGAAAGGAACTCAGGTAACAGCGGGGTCACTGGGCTATTACCCCAGAACATCACCAGGATCTCCTGGACAGATGAGCACAGTGAACCTCAGCTGGCTTGCGCCAGCTCGTGAGAGTAGCAGCCTCTCCTAGTTCTTCTTCAGCAGTAGCTGGTGACATCAAGCCACAGTTTCACCAGACCGCGAAAACAAATTTCTGTAATGGTTTGTAGGTCAATGCTGGTTCACTGGCCATAATTCTTAAAATATGCCTGCAGATTTAGCAGCGACCTATCGTTGGCCAATCATAATCTCAAAATGAATCGACAGAACTTGAAAACAAAAGCAGCTCGGTTAGACTACTCAACGTGCAGATGCAGTGAATCTAGTGGGTAACAACACTTATTTGAATTATTGTGTGAGTAAACACAGAAAACGAACTGAACAAACAAAGACTTGATTAACTGAGACAAGAAATAAAACAAAAATTTTAAAATCTGCAGATTTGAAGTGCAAGGAGAGAGGTCTTCTTTTCTTCTTTCAGCATTACATGTCTCAGTTACAAGCCTAGTTATAAAGAAAAGACCTCTTGTGGGGGAGCTAAGGCAGGGAAAAGGGTTTTCATGCTCAATTTCTAATGACTATGCAATTTCTTTGTCTGTGGGTCTGCTCAAGTTCTGTCACAAGACTTCACATACAAGGACTTCTGAGCATGGGTGTACAGCATTAAGTAAAAGAACATTCTAAGCATGCAGTTTCATATACAAACTTTATACCTGTTTCAATAGTAACTGTTACAAGCAAACTAAAGAGCCCACAGAATATTTTATCTACTCTGATTTCACACCACGATTACATTAAGCTACTCGAAACATCTAACACTCCTACGTCTAAAAGAACAAGACTACTAAGAAAGGAAATGAGATTTTTTTAAGAAACATACAGAATTCCAAGTTTGTGTTCAACACTATAACATTTCTAAACAATGCTTAAATGAAAACAGTTACATAGTATAGAGTACAGAAAAGTCATAATAAAACAATTATTTAATTTACATGCTTTAGTCACCCAGTTCTATTTCTAATGGGAAGAAAACCCACATGAAGACTCACAAGAAAAGAAGATGTATAAGGATAAAACATGATTCAAAGGAACCTATGGATTAAGTAACATTGACATTGCTACAAAAATAAATAACTGAGAAACAGTTACAAATAATCAGATCAGCTCAATAATAATCCTGATTAATGAAATTGGGCTTCACTTCAAGAATCATAAAATAAATATCAAGTGTAGGGAATCTTACTATTAATTCACACCTGACAATGCTGCATGGGAACCATGAGCGAGGCTACACACTGATATTTTAACAGAGACACAGAGGTATTTTCCACAGTTTGATTAAGAAAAGAGAGTCACTGGATTTGGTTGTAATTGAAATCTTAGCACTTTGAATTCATCTAGTAATACGATAGCAGAGAGAGCGTCCCAGGATTTGAGAGTTAGTCTTGCAAAGGTTCAAAGGATTTATGACTGCTTGGATTGCACTTAATGTGTTTCCACAAAAGGAAATTTAGAAAGGGGGTTAGCATTGTATGCTCAGGGTCATCTGGTCTGGTGTCTTATCTTGGCCTTTGCCAAATGCCTTCCTCTGTAGGGGAGGATGTGTGTGTGGAAGTGAGTAGGGAATTTCCAAAAGTCATATTTATATCAAGAATTTACTTTCATGAGGTCAAATGGTCTCTAGAGCTACTGGGCCGGTTGAGAGGAAAGATGGTTGTGATAAGACTTCCCCCCGCCCCCCCACGCAATGCTGCCACAAGGTGAGACAGCAGATGAGGGGGTTGGGACAGTGTCCTTGGAGCACTCTGGGGCCCATACTCAGACATTCGTTATTTTTTATGGCTGTTTATTACTTTTGTTCTACATTTATTAGGTTTTAAATGTATTTTCTATCATTTTTTTATCTTAAAACGTCAATGATAGGCTTCAGCGTCACACGGACACGTTCGTCTATCAAAAAAAATGCCTGCATGCTCACAGGATTTCAACCAGAGTGGCAAAACGTGACAAACAAAGCAGATTAACTGAGCTGATCTTTTGCAGCAAACGTCAGCATGTAGAAAACCGTGAAGTGAAAATCTTTGTTTTTTTTCCCCACACAATACACGTCTCTGTTAGACCTTAAGAGGTCATCTGCTCAACCCCTGCCTGACTAGGGACCAGTGAACTAGTGAAAGATGCACATGAAGATGTACTTGAACAACCATTCACTTCAAGCACTTCATGCAAAAGTACAACCACAGAAAGACATTTCAAAACCTCTTGGCTTCTGGAATTTCCATGGCTCAGGTATAACATAAGACAGACTATATTGCAAATTCTGTTCGATGCAGGCAAAGATATAGCTGGAAAAATGGATTTATTAACAGGAACGAATCATTTCAGGAATAAGACTGTGAAAAAAAATAGGCAAGAGTCGAACGCATAAAAAATACACACAATTTTGTCATCGCAAAAAGTGCTCCTACTCCCTTAGCCAGCAGAGTGTCTCATTCATGTGAAAAAAAGATACGCATTTTCTAGATGCAGCAGCAGTGATACAGACTGCTGATTTAATTTAAGGTGCCTCTTTGCTAGATATGGGCTAAAGTACAGGCTACAGCACAAATTCTTACAAAGTACACACAGTATAAGGTGTGTACGATTGTACTTTCAGTTGCAAAAGCTATTAAAACACAAACCACTTTAAAACAACTGGCAGTAGTATGTCAGCTTAGTTATCATCATTGTGTGATTAGGCTCTGGTAACTTCAGCTATGGAGTTGAACACTGCAATACAAGGCTGTTTGCAAAGACTCGCAGTGCTGCCAACTAGTGTGTCCCTCAAAATGTTTTTCCCATTTCCCCTACAATTAAGAATCATGTGCCAACTGGCTGGTTTAAGATACAAATATTTGGATGTAATTACCAGGCTAATGTTTCGCTTCCTAGCGTTTTTGGCCAAAATAAAATTGTGTGTAATATTTTTTATTACTCTTTATATACCTCCTTCTGGATCAACTTCCTACAGCATTGCTCATGTCTTAATAAACAAAAGCAGATCTACTTGTGCTTTCTTATAGACTTGACTGTCCAAATAGCATTCAGTGCTTAAGAAACAAAGAGGGCTCTCTCCCCAGACCTGCGGCCAGACCAAACACCGGACACCTAATTAGACTGTGTCAAAGTCATGTTAGTAATTTCAATTTGTCATCTCTAGGACACTGTATTTCAGAAACTCATGGAAGAGTGAGTGCTCCTCCAGAGATGAGGGAGAGTCTGCTCCTCTTCCAAAGGTGGAGGCTTGTGGCAGTGGAATTACCACTGCCCACCGTATAGAGCCTGATCCTTCTCTGTTCTCTTCTCTATCTGAATGCAGGGATTGCAGCCGGCATAAAATAGCTTGGCAACAGGAGCGTGCAACATAGTTGTTGCGCAATCATGCATTGACGTGCTGTTGGCGTGAGATTATACCATGCATTCTGCCGTGTCTGCTTTGCCATCGGAGAGGCTAGCGGCTGGTCAAACTGACTGCCAGTCAAGTCTGACTGCCAGTTATGTGACTTCTGTCTTGCGAGTGATGACATTTGTCATTTGTTTCCTTTTTGTTTTATTTCAACTGTGACACTATTACACAGCACTGTTTTCATATATATATATATATATATATATATATATATATATATATATATATATATATATATATATATATATATATATATATATATATATAGAGAGAGAGAGAGAGAGAGAGAGAAATAGCTATACACACGAACACACACAGATAACCTGTGTGCATGTCTCGAGAGCTGCACTGTGCTGTGCGAGGGCGCATCCAGCTGTCCACATTACAGCATTTAACACCTATGATATACAGCACACCTACACACTACACAAAATGCATAATCCTCCCTGGTTTTGACTTCTCAGTGCAATCAAATTAAAAACTGCTTTCAGAAAAATTCTCTTTATCAAATACAGGTTGTTCATGCACTGGTTGATTTTGTTCATGCATTTGGTAGTTTGTGTAAGTTTTCGAGCTGAGTAATCGATACTCCAGATACGTTGCTGAATCCAGTGTGGGCTGTTGCTGTGATAACAGTGAAAAGCTCCTGTGAAACCCGTGGTGAGATTTACCAAAAATGAATACAAGAAGTATTTATAGTGTACACACACACACACACAGACACACATACACACAAACATGCAGACAATAATGTTTACAAATATGTTTATATGTTTAAATACAATGCAGCACTCAATTCACAGCACTGTTTTCACAGGTAAGAATCATTTTGAAACCAAACCATCCAAAATGACTAAGTAGCCTCAACCTCAGTACTGTTTGTATTGACCTCCTTGCTAATTCTCAATTCTATCTGGCAGCTGGTCTCTAAAACAATATTTTATTGTTTGCTGTAACAAGGATAGCTTGCTATTTAATTTTACTTATGTTTACCACTGCACTAGTGCACATTACATTTTCATAATTTTCATGATTTATGATATCACAATATCATGATACTGATTTTTAAAAAATGTTAAAAAATCATTTTAATACATCACAAATGATATTTTTTTATACAGTGGCATGTGTGTGCAATATTTACAATAAAGTAATCATGAAAAATAAAAATAAAGAATTGTCCATAATTATGCTCACTGTGTATCAATATTATACAGGGCTGCCTAAAGTCAGTCTGCCACAGAACACTGAGACCTTTACCAAGAGCTGCTCCATAAAATATAACATGGAACAGAGTTTGGGCAGTATCGGTCAACAAATTTGCATTAATGATTATATTTTGTTAGCTTTTTTGAGTTTTTAGAATTGTTTAGTCTGTTCCTCTTGATGCTGTTTGCTTTTTCATGGTATCTATAACATCAAAAAACATCACACTAGTGTTCACTTTAATATAAGTATACACTATCCTTAACAGATGTGCCATGTTATCTGTACCGGTAGTGGTGGATGTGTTGAACAATTGTAAATAAAATTGGACATGGTAATACTCAAAAACGTTTGCTGCAATAGTATTTACAAAAAGTAATTATTGAGTGGTAAATAAATAAAATAAAATAAAACTCACAAAAAGAGAAATTTCACAATGATTGCCACAGCTAACTGCAAAGCTATGCCGCAGCAGAAACTTTCATTAACAGTAATTTCCTGCTGCTGACATTTAGATCTCACTGTAAATCTGATCACTATCTTGCAACTATGAGTAACACTGGCAGTGCTCTGGATTGTGCCATAGATAAAACAGTTCTTTTGTTTTGTTTTTCTGACAAAAACCAAAACATTACCTGTTCCATCTTCTCTTCTAATTCTCGATTGTCATCTTCCATCTGTTTCTTCCGGCTGTCTAGAGCCTTGATATCATTATCCAATTTCATGACTTTACCAAGGTTATCGTCAATGTCATTCAGCCGATTCTGAAAATGCAGATAAAGCAGACATGGTGAGAAACACCAATATAATGCAAAAAAAAAACAAAAAAAACAAAGCTGGACTTGCTCCCACACTTACACAATAAACCTCATGTTTGTGTTTTATACAAACTCACAGTGGTCTGTTTTAGCTATTCAGTAATCACTGAAAGGGAGAATGCATAGTGATGGTGTGTTGGAAGATAAAGTGCAATCATTTAGGGTGCACTTATTAGGTCATGACATTATACAAGATCACTGACACATGATACACGATACACAACCTGCAGGGTGTCTAAATGTCTACATGAAACATCAACGTTTAAGTAAAACACGAGTGTTAAAACACAGACTTGTAAACAAGCATGTGCTACTGTGCTTTGAGTCTATTTTTTTTCTCGCTTTCTACAAGTGCCATGCCACTAAATGCATGTACAAAATATACTCACCCCTGCTGAAACACTTGGCTTTAATAGATGTGCTGTTTTAAGTTTAAAGTCAGCAACCACATTTAAATACACAGAAAATGAACAGAAATTAACTTTGTATTAGAGCATTTTGAAATTGTGGCCACCAGAAATTTTCCATCCAAAAACGGTCAAAAGTGGCAATTTTGGTTTAAGCCAAAAGAGAAACCAAAAGCAAAACAGATTATATGTTTCTACAGTGAAGTGTCGAAACAATCTCAATGATACTGAAAAGGAGAAATAAATAAAGACGCAATTCACTTTCTTTAATGCACAGACGCATTCAAACTGTTCAAGAGGCAGAGCGAAACGTACACAGAGTCCTCTGCGGCTGCGTTCATTAGTCTTTAATTCTTACTGTAACATTTGTGACATCCTGCTGTGGTTTATGGCTGTGTGTTCTCTGAATATTAAAACTTTTAAGATTAAGTATTATATAAAAATGATTAGTTTAAAAAAAAAGGCAGTTTAGTGTTACTTCATGCCCCCTACAACAGTAAAATTTTGTTAACCCATTTTCCTAGTTTGACACTCAAACCATCATAGTAATGAAGACTGAAGCCCAGCTGCTCATATACCATCTAATTTAAATACAGCTTTTAAAAGGTTTTTAAAGCAATATCTTTAGCTGCTTCCGCAGAGTGCACTGAACTAGAGACATTACAAAAGGAGGAGACAGGCCACTGGTTGTAAAATGAATGACTAACTTTCCCACTCTCAACATTTCAATAAAATGAACCAATCAGCTTGCAGTTTAAGCTGCAAACTGGAAAGCTCCCCCACACTGTGAAGATATAGGCATGTGCAGTAGCCAGAACAAGCTGAAAAAAAACTTGTCTTTTGAGCAGTATATGAGCCAAACGCTCCAAACTATTTATACTGTTTTTGTCAGATTTCATCAGTAATTTCAAATATATTTTTGAAACAATGTGGGTTTTAGTTTCGGTTTTATAGGTCTTTCCCTATTCAAAAAAACAGAAGCCTGGTCTTTTTGACTGGAAATAGCTGCCCAAGGGCACTGACAAAACGACTGCCAACTGGACAAACTTTCCTATAAAGACTTTGGCTGAACAGTTCTTGTAAGAGGCCTATAGATAAATCAGCAAATTAACAAAAGCAGAAGCAAAGTGGAAAGCTACAGTTCATCTTCAGAGCTGTAACATTAACCAACAAGCTGTACGAACAAAAACAAGTGCAATAAGGCTATAATCACAGAAGTGAGATTATTGGCGACATATGCACATACAAAGATTTCATTTATTAACATGCTTTAGGCCAAGTCCTTAACAACACATCACAGCCTCATCTAAGCCCTGCTTTATTTAATGTCTTACCTCCAGCGGGTCAATCTGGCTTTCGATGCGCTGCACACTCTCTTTAGAAGCCGCTAGTTGGGCTTCTTTAGTGGATAGCAGATCCTTGATCTCCTGAGCCTTCTCTTTGTTCTGCTTCAGATATTTTAGCTCCATTTGACAGGCCTTGACAGTGTTGGACTGCTTCAGTCTCAACTGCCGAAGGGTTTCTAGCACCTTGATGTACCTGTGAGAAAATAATGCATGCTAAACATGGTCTGCTGCAATGCCAACTTCTGAAGAACAAAAAAGGGAACAACACAGCAAGATAGAGAAATATTCAGCCATTTAAGGTCAATTAATTTGACCAGAAAAAATAATTAATACAATTAAATAAATTAGTGAATTAAAGTCAAGTACAGTTTCAGGTGAATAAGTGACTACAAAACCATGGGGATTTAGCCTGCACTTAAAACCATGCAAAAAGTATTACCCCGCCTATATAGTGGAAATCTTACAAGTATCAATGTGTCAAATATTTTATAATTATTATTATATATATAAATAAAATTGTCATGCAAGAAATAGAAGCTGACTGGAAGCCAATGAATTACAGGAGACATCTAGGTCAAGACCTGGCATTAAGATATCAGGAAAAAAAACAAATACACACCAAATTAACAATAGGAATGTGCAAACACTGAGGAGACCAGGATTACATCATCACCTTGTGGCAGAGAAAATTTCATCAAATTTCTGTTTCAGTGCCTTTCCTTCACTGAGTGGCCAGTTGGACTCTTCTTGGTGGCAGAAGATGACATGGTTGAGAACAGCTTTCGAAACGCCTAGAGACGAGATCATCTCACGGTCTATCTCGGCACATTTAGAGCTCAGACTGACCTTCTCTCCATGCCTGATATGAACACAGATTATTGCCAATGAATATGTTAGAACTGAACAAAAATAGACACATTTACTTCAGATTTTAAATATACAAAATTAGGCAACATTATGCATATGCTCATTTTATACAATGAGTTGAGTTTCCTGAAGACACTACTATTAAAAAGTCTTCTAAGCTTGCATGTCTCTATCTGTGCCCTGGACAAGCGCAGCTGCTACAAATACAGATGTACCGAGAGAGACAGAATAAGAAAACTCTCTTTCACCAGCTCAAATAGCATCCACTGTACCACAAAAGAAATATGACTTCATACCAGGGGTTTTCAACTCAAATCTTGGGGTCCCACTGTTTCAAGTATTCCCTGGTCTAACACACCTAAGCAAACCCATGAAGAGTGTCATAATTATTCTGGGCAGTAGGCCCCAAGACTGTATTTGAAAAACCATATTGCATAACATTCTTCTTTGTCTCTGCTTGAGTGAAGGGCTGGCCTGTTTGTTTGTGAGTATTTGTTTGTTACGCTGGCATTCCTTTCAGAGTTACTGTTAATTTATGGAAAATTATTTTTGGCTAGTTTAACTGAATGCATCATAAATTCATTCCAGGCATCCTTCCAGAAAAATGCCCAGTGCAAAATTTGCATTAACATTTATATACCATGCAGACACTACAAGTTTAAAACTACAGCAGATTTAAAACATGACAGCACAAACAGCACATCTGTTTATTGTGATGAAATCATCATCACAGAGTAGTCTCTGCTCCACCCACTGTTAGTACAGCAGAAGAGCTGCCCTGCAGCCACCACACCAAGAAGATGACATTAAAATATATAACACTGTAAATATAGTTTAGAAATGCTACAGAAAATGAGTGCGTCATTTGACTGGATCTCTATGGACTGGCAAGACCAAGACCAAGAGAATCACGTCTGTTCCGGCAAGACAACGGATGACTAAAACCCATGTAAAATATTTTGTTTTTAAGGGTGATATTACAAGTAATGCTCAACGACTATCTGAAGCCTGTAATATTCTGTGTGGGATAACCCTACAATTTTCTGTTTTATAGCTCTTATTGCATTAGACATTCTCAACAGGCTGTTTACTTTCATTAGACATTCTCAACAGGCTGTTTACTGTCACATCTGCATATCTCATTACACTTAGAAAAGGAGGAATATACAGATATATACGATATATCCCCAAATGGCTAAAAAGTAGAGATTCACATTTTACAATTACAATTACATAATGACAAGACACAGTGCAATAAAAATGAATAGTCTTGTATAATGAAACCCACTTAATTCTGGTGATGACTCCTTCAAGGGTTTTGAACTCTGCTTTTTTGCCCTTCTGTGTGCTTAGCATGGACCGCTGAACGGCTATAGGCTCCCCATTTACATCTTTGAACTGCAGGCGAATCTGGGCACGTACATCTGTCTCATGGGCATCCTACAAAACAGAAATTATTACATACATCAACTAATGCCCTATTGCTTTTTGACATTTACGTTCATATGTGAAAGTCAAATATATATCTGACATCTGAATATTAATAATATTAAGCAAATTCGCACATTTTGACACCTGCCACTTTTAAAGTATTTCTCAGCCACTATTTAGCCACAATAAATAAATGAATAAAAAAAAAAACATACCTTTGGATCATGGACAAACGTATTTCCTTTGCTTCCAGGTGGAAAGTCTCCAGAAGTGACATACTTAAGGCATTCAATAATAGTCTGATGAGAAGGAAAAAAACAAGAGTTTTTAAAAAATATTAGAGGACCATATCAGCTCTTCTGTTTTACTGAAATCGAGACAAAGCTTCTTGTGTAGGCTGAGTTATGCAACATCATGGACGCCAAGAGCCATGTTTAAGCATGTCTCACTGAACCATTCAGTAAGGTGTCTATTAAAGCAATTGACACAATGCAGTGTTCTGCAGAGCAGAACGTTTTCTTTTAAAAGAAAACGCTGCCAAATTCCACCCATTCAGAATGTGAACCCGTCAACTTGGTATAATGGTCATGTGACGACATTAAGGCTGGCCCAAATAATCTGAATTCTCAAGTAGTCATTTGTTACGTTGTCATTTGGTTCTCTATTTAGTATTTGTCAACTTTCCATGTGTTCCATTTAAGCTAAAAGAGCAAGGATGCCTAAGAAATCATGCGAGCACTTTAAATTTAAAAAGAAAACGTCTAGTGCAATAAGAGGCTGGTCTACCATGGAAGCATGACAAGTTTAATTAATGAACTCAAATAAGTAAGTATAACAGTACCTATCTGAGTACCACTAGTCTCTGGTGAGGGCAACTGTAAAATGGGGGAGCTCAAAGCCTCAAACCTCTTTTGTTGGGGTGAGCTCTCACAGTGGCAAAGAATCATGGCATTACTGTTGTCGTGGTGCTCTCAGTCAGACGAGACTGGGACAGGCATGAAGTCAACTTTAGTAACTCTAGCCAGCAACTCTCTAGGCTGCGGGCCAAGAGCTGAACAACTCAACCCAGCTATGACTAAACTCAGCTCAGCCTGCTCAAAATACAAAGTCAGTAATTGGTCAATTTATTGTTTTTATTTTGGCAGATCTGTTTTAGTCAAGCGCACTCACACTGTATTAGAACGCTGCTGCTACACCTGTACCAAAATGCCAAAACTCATTCTGCTAAACAGCCAGTTGTTTTTAACGTTTGATGTAACTTTATTTCATTTCTGTTATTTAAATAAGTAATTGATTTAAAACTGAAAAATTAAAGAACAAATAAAGGTTTGGCTAATAGAAAGTACCGGAAATGTGCTAGTGTGTTTTGTGTGTTCATTTACCCCACACATTGGGAACTTCTTTAAAAAATAAATAAATAAACAAAATTAATAAAACCCGACCATCAGCCAATTTGGCTCTGAAGAAATCAGAATCAACTATAAAAAAATAATGATTGGTGCATGTCTAAACTTAAATAAAACAAATTAAAACTAAACCAGCGTTGACAAAGCGATAATTTCAATTAGTTACATACTTTGAGTCTAGATGTGAGTCATAAATGCTATAGCTGAAGGAGAGGGATAAACAGCGGACTACTAATATATCGCTGCCGCCTACTGGATATATTTTGAACTGCAGTAACAAACCTGCAAGGAATCACTGGTTATGGGTGATTGTGAGCATGAATATTTGAGTACTCATACTGAAACACATTCCAGTATTTGAAGCCTGTAAAAATGGTGCTTGGTCCGGCCTTAGAAGACATGGACGACTAATTAACAACTAATTTACATCTTGCCTTCCAATGAAACAGATTAAAGCATGACAAGTTCCTCATGAGAGCCTTGGAAGCAAAACAACTGTGTTGCTACAAGTATTTGTATAGGCAGAACTCACAAGTGGAGGAGGGGGGGAAAAAGGAAGAAAATCGTCATCATTTCTAAAAAAAAAAAAAGGGGAGTTTCATTTTAAAGGGAGGGAAGTTGCAAAACTCAAGTGAGGAAAAGACAAAAAGAAAGTTTAAAAAAAGGAGGAAACGAAAAGTTAAAGGTTATGACTTCTACATTACTCTATCTTTATCACCATCTTTTTGGAGGAAACAGAAAGGTGTTATGTTCATGATGTCAGCACGAAAAGTGAGGAGTGCTGGGGCAAAAAGAAGACATAAGCAGAGGAACCAACCGTTTTGCCAGCTCCATTGGGTCCTACTAGCACCGTCAGAGGACTGAAGAATGTTATCACTTGTTTGTCCTTGTCCTCCACACCAAAACTCCTCACGCCAAGGATACTCATCTTCTCTATTTTCGACATTTTAACTGTGTCCTTAAGCCTGCAGGCAAGAGATCAAAAAAAAAAAGTTAAACCTTTCATCTGCACTACTTGAAACTGCCATTATCATTACCTAGAGCAGTGGCTCCCAACCCAGGTCCTGGAGCATCCCCCTTCCCTGACACAACAAAGCAGTTTATTAGCAAGCCCTTCCTAAATTTAAGTACGGTTTAGACCAGGAAAGCATGGGAACCTGTGACCTAGGGAACAGCACTAATCTGACACTAGTTTGCGGTAATGGGTCGATATCAGTACAAATTCTGGATGGCACATAGATTGGGAAGAAGAATTAATCCAATCCAGTCCTGTAGTAAATCCAGCCTAAAATACCCCACAGTCACACTGGATAATGTTCACTCTGTATTTCTTCCTGGGGGGCAGCAGAGTGCTTGAGTAATCCGAGCACAATACGATACTTTAAGTGCAGGACGCCAAACAAAAAAAGCACTTTGAAGCGTTTACAGAAAAACATCTGCTATCTGTATGGAACGATACTCAAGGTTTATATGTTGGTATCATGAAACTGAAAGTGGTATCATACCATCTTTATCACCTTTTAGATTGCGAAAAGCAAACTCATATTTCCTCCCCGATCATGGACCATTAACAAGAAAACCACTGGCGTTTTTCAAAGCAACAGCAAGCAAATGCCAATTGCCCATGAACTGTTCAAGACTTGCTGTAATATTCTTTAAGAGCATTTCTATATTTATGTTTTATCTTTGCATGTTACTGTATTCTTTGTTGTACCTTGCAAAATTTACTTGTCAGTTATTTTTCTTTTGTCTCTTAGCTTTTAATCTCCTAATTCTACTAGTTATTATTATTACCAATATTATTATTATTACTATTATTGTTATCATCATCATCATTATTCAGATAAAGGGGAATTTCACAAAAAAGCCATTTCGTTCAGTCTGACCACTTAGTTAAAAAAAACAGTTGAATAGAAGAGGCTATTACTTGTTCTTCTTATTATTATTATTCAGACAGAGAGACATTTCACAAAGCAACATTTTAGCCATTTCTTCCAGCCTGAAAACAACAGTCCATTAGAAGAGATAAGGATAAATCCTGCTGGACAATCCTCAACTTCTGGCTTAAGTTGCTCACTGAAAAATCCTGCTTTGTGAAATAGTGAAATACCCACAGCCGTGACAGTAATAAAACCAGCTAACTTACAGTTTTAAACGAGCTGTAATCTCCCAAACTAGCTAGCCAGTTAGTGTAGCTAACCTAGCTGTCAACATTAACTTAACTTAGCTACCTAACCGACAGTTAATGTGCCTTCGTGATCTATCACTGTTTACAGCTAACCTAGCTGGCTAGTCAGCTAACGTTACCACGTAAGCAAACAGGACACAAAAAGTACAGAAGCAGACACAGCGCGCGTGCACCTCTCGGGAAACAACAGAACAACAGACGTCCGACCCAGTTTTAGTCTAGCTCTCCGACCGACTAATGTAAAATAAACCAAATAAACGCCCCATACTTTTACAACGCAGGTTACTTTGTGTGGCTAGTGTAGAAGTCTGCTGCACTCTCGGACTCGCCAATTTCCCGCGCCTGATGTGACGTTCTTCCGCAACGCTCGACGACTACAAATCCCACAATGCAGCAGCGCTGGCAGACACCTGAAGTCCAACTGAGAGGATTAAAGTCCACTCAGTTTATGTGGGGCTTAGAAAACCTCGATGTTCTACGAAGACTTCGTGAAAAGGCCAGTGTACAAAAGCTCGACCTCAGTTTTCAGCTTTGGAAAGTTTAAAAATGTTATAGTATTAGCTATGCAACCGAAGTGCTTCCAAAATACCAAAGTTCTGCGAATCTTTGCTTGTGCTTTTTCTTCTCTGTAAGTAACTAGTCTCTGTATAGATGCAGTCCGTGCGTTCATTTCAGTGAACGGTTGTTAGCTGTGTTATCATCTAACGGTATAATACTAATATAATCACTGCGTAATTGTACGTGTCTCCAGAATGGCGTTTGAGCTTTCAGAACTTCAGAAACAGCCTAGGCTACATAAAACATGTCATGTTTGCATGAATCCCTCTATAATGTTACATCAGATGAGGAGCCGAGAACAAAACCGAGCTCTGCTCTTCATGGTGGTTTTCTAGCACTCAGCTTTGAGACCTGTGACAGCACTAGCAGTGAATGGACAGAGTGGCCTAAAAACATTCCACTAAACAAATTGCTGCAAAGACTTGTTGCTTGTTGAAATGAAAAAAGCAGTTACATAAGTCAAGAAACAACTTAAATTGGAGTGTAAAAAAAAAAAGATTAAGAGAGCTTGAAAGTGAGAGCAAAGCATCCCATCCGCTGTATCACCGAATGGAAATGAAATGAAACGTATAAAAAGGAACTGGCAACCAAATGTAAATTCACATACAAATATATGTATATAATACATAACATACTTTATTGTGATATCAAAAGTAAGTGTGGGTTAACTTACAATTTAAATTGCACACATTCTTAACCAAAGCTATATATTTCAGGCTTTTTTGTGGCATATATAATATGTATATACCATGGGTGTGAGAACAGGAAGCGAGTGTGGTGTAATGACCTGCCTCCTGGTTTGTGTGTGCATATAATGCAGCAATTTGGATATAAAATGGCTCTTTGTGTTTTCACTTGGATAAAAGGAAAGTGTATCTGATATTTCAACATTTAAAAATCCCTGCATAAATAAACCTGAAATGCCAAGAAAGTCATCATGGTGATAGGAAGCAGACTTCTGAAGATTGTAATGCCTCTAAAAGATGCATCACAAAGTTATTATATGAAATGGTTACGAATACACTGCATGATGCCTGAAACATTGCTTTATGCTGGTTTTGAGTAGGTTATGGCCTAAAATGTATTTCTTCAAATGTATTTATGGCAGAGAGGTACGTGTAGGATGTTGTAAAGCAAGATGTTTTCAGATTTACTACTAATTTCTCATTATCAACATTTTATATAAAAAATTAGACACATATAGGTTCAATGGCTGTGTTGGATAGCAGGTAAAGTGGCTATATGTATGGTATTGACACCATTGTAAATAAAATCTAGTCATATTTTACAATGAACTATTTCACATCAAGCCAGTCTGAATGACTTTGCATGTATGCGCTGAATTATGCATATATTTTGAAACTACTAATTCCCCTTTATGATAAAGTACACGTACAGTAAACTCTTAACAGTCTTTATTCAGGGCTTTGATTTTGCTTTTGATTATTTTGTAGGCTTCTTGCTGCAGAAGGACCAAAGAAGTGTTGATTTAAATAAGGCAGACCATGTAGCACAAAGCAATCAGGTAGATTAAAGAAATCCACCGCAATGGATGATGGAATGAGCTTTAAGATGTGAAAACCATCTTTGAACCGTGCAATGACACATGAAGAGCCTAGTCAAGAATAAAGCCATAGTTGTTAAAGCTACACTTGCAAAACTTTACATAGTACAAAAACGGAAACTAGTAAAACTCAAAAAACAAAATGACCAGTTTGTAGTTTGTTAAGCCACATTTGTGGTGGATGGAGTGTTTGGACATGTGATGATGTGGCCGGCGGTGGTAGAAGAAAATTCTGTCAAATCTCAGATTCTGCCAAGGCAATATGCTACACTTTTCAAATCAATAATAATAAATAATAATCAACAGTAATTAATTGTCATTAATGTGATCACATGGACATCTACAGTGACCTAAACCACAGCTCTAGTTTTGTGACATACATGGGTTGGTCATGGGTAATTTCTTTCCTCCCACACCCTCAACTTACTGTAGATCCACAGGTTATGTATAGGAACTGCTTGTCATATTAATTTCTAGCGAAATTCCCCACCTCAGGCTACACATATATAAATAGCGTGACATATTGGTCAAGCTCAGCCCACTCTCTTATGATGTTCAAATTGTGTAAATGTGTTTTGTTCCTCTGCGTAGTGTTGCAGGGCACGACTAGAGGGGATGACGCAATCCGTGAAATCCTTGGCCGTCTCAAAGACCTCTCTGGCTACTCTGATCTCTTCACCTTTGTGAGTTGTGCAACTTCATGCTTTGCAGGCAAATGTTTCACTTGTGAAGATGTATTTACAAGAAATGATTTGCTATTTGTCATGGGTTTTTATGTTTCTCTCTTTTTTATTTAAAGGACATGAGCACCATTTATGTGCCAAATGTGCTGTTGGATAACAGTGATGTAAGTTTCTAAGATCTACAGAGTAACAGGTTTATCAGAGCTTGATATTTACATGGTGGAAAGTAACTAATATGCCAGTTATTACTTTTACTAGATCTTTTATGCTGCTTATTTAATTCAATTGGCATTACATTTTATTGGATGCCTGTGGTGAATGGTACCAATTCTAAAGATGATTTTGTATCTGTCATCACCAGTAAGACTCCTTCTAGCAACAGTAACAACTGTGATTAATACGTCAATGAAATTGACAAAGTCAGTGTATGCAAGCTCAATGCTTTATAAATAATATATAAACACCTTTTGTTTTTGTTTTCAACAGTTTTGCAATTGTAAGGAATTAATCGCCCAAGAACTATTGAAAACTCTTGTTCTGATAAAGACTGCTGACCAAGGCGTAGGTCAGGAGCCACGTACGATCGTCCGAATGCTGCAGTACAATATTAAGTCACTGCTTACTTACTCAGGAACAGTAAGTAGGGCTTTTATCCTTTTTTTCATTGTGTAATTTCCTCATAACTGCTACACTCTTAAACATAAAGGGGCAGATTTACTGAGAGGCACTAATTACCGATTGCCTACTGACTTCCTTGCACTGGTGGGGGTGGCCAGTTTAAGGGGTTATCTGGCACTTCCTTCCTTGCAAATGAACACAAGTGCAGCTTCATAATTAACATATGACCAGTGCTGTATAACGCAGTGTAACTGCTCACATGCTTTTTGTATGAAAGCCCATATCCACTAGGCAACAGGCCATAAAGATTTTATTCTTCTGTTTCAGAATTAAACTCATTAGATTAGATTAGATTCAGCTTTATCGTCATTGTGCAGAGTACAGGTACAGAGCCAATGAAATGCAGTCAGCATTGCCAAATACAGTATTATTGACACATAAAGTGCAGAGATGATATAGTGGTAAAAAATATAGATATGCAAGTATAAATATAATATACATATGTACAGAGTGAGTGGAGACCATACAATGAGGTAGTATGTCCTGTGAGAGCACACTGTACAGTAATTGTTGGTGCAAATATGAATAGTGCAATAATACTAGGATTAAAATACAAAATAATGACTAATTGTCTCAAGATTTTGATAAATGTCGACAAGAAAGTTGACAAAAAGAGGTATTACTTGTGAAGGAAGCATGTTGTTATTTCAACATAGAAAATAATTATTATGAGAAATTAAGACACTGTTTTGACATATTACATCAGAAATTTGAGAAAGTAAGACAGTATTTTGACATAATACATCAGAAAGTCAACAAAAGTTATTATTTTGATTTTTTCCCAATTTGAAACGTGTTATTTTTGCACTGGGTGGATTAGTTGAGTTCTGTGTTAATTGCATTTGGAAATGATATTGTAAAATCCCTTTTTATTTTCACTAAGTGCTTTCAGGTTGCTTGGGAATCATAATTTTGAGCACAACCTCATAAGAACATGCAGTATATCGAAGAATGGCAGTATAACAAAGGTAGCTTTAGTGAAGAAAGAGCAATCATTTGGAAAAGGAAACTGTTATATCATTATTTAGGCAAACGCTGCTCTTTGACATACCAAATCCTGTTTTTGTATATCAGAAAAGTTTAAAGCATATATTTTTTTCAAAGTATTTGGATTTAGTTTTTTTTAATTTCCTTCATCACATTAAGAATAATGCGGCATGCCTGGCAGGTGTTAAGAGTTCTTGTCGATTGAAAATACATAAATTGTCTGGAAAAAAAATCTCTCTTTTTACTCTGAGCACAAACAATAGCAGCCATGTAAGTGACAAAAATAAGACGAGCTTTTAACAGACGTTAAACAGTGCCCTGTCCGTATTTACCATCAGCTTTAGTAAATTAGAGCAGGTGTTTCAATAAGAATCTCCTCCCAGTATTTTGTGCTTTGAGAAGGAAGCTCCTAAAAATGCATATGCAATTAAACAAAAGCACATGAGAACTTGTGGTGCTCTCTTGTGCTTTTGTGTTGTGCTTTTTGGTGCTTTCTAGACACTATTTAGTAAATCACAACACTTTTTAATATGACGTTTGTGACAGTGCAAAATGTTCGTAAATCTGGTTCCTAGGAAAAACCTGAATTAGTGTAGAACCTTCATATTATGTGTAGGTTTTTTTTCAAAAGCTGCTTCACACTCGCACATACAAAAACAGTTCTTTCATGGAATGGAGGTACAGAAATGTTCTTTAGGGACCTAAAAGTGGTTCTTCTTTTGGTATTGGAACCTTTATTTTTAAGAGTGTACTATTACATTCTGATGCATTGATTTTCACAAATGGTTAAAGGGGAATTCTGACGATTTTTCAACTTGGTTTACAGTTGATAACATGTAAACAAAGTCATTCAGAGTGGCAGAGTGGTTTGATATAAAATGCTTCATTCGAGAGAAACT